TGCTGCATTCCGATGAAAGAACTTTTTATATCCTATGATTAAAGCAAGCTAAAGATTGCATTATCATTGTCCCGTACAATATTGATTGCTTAAATAATTCTAATTTGCTTGTACGGAAGTCTTTCTTCTGAACACTTTAATAGTACTTCATTTTAGTCTTACTGAGCAAAAAGATTTTAATTTAAATACAAATCTAACATTATTCCACATTATATCATTTTTATGGCAAAACAAAATCCTTTAAAATGCAGCTCATATTGCTTGATGTAGAGAATGAGATCAGATATTTGGCCTACCTGTCAACATGGTCAGATCCTTCAGTTTCTCGTCAACGTCAAGGTAGCAGAAGTTTGTTAGGCCTATTCTTCTTCACCATTTTAACCATGTTAACCCCCAAGTTATCCGTTTGTCTTGGATAGATTCAAAACTTTTTAAATATACCAGCGTATACATGGTCAACATGGACATGAGAAAAAATCCACATTTCACAATCAAACCTCCAGTCGGTCCATAACTTTTTTCCATACAGCCTGATACTATAGCGTTTCGGTAGGAGATTTAAAGAAGCGCAAACAGTGTGATGGATCCTTGATACAGTCATACAAATAAAATACTTGACATACAAGGAACGAAATGTTTCAAAAATCTCCGAAGGCGAAGTTGCATTGTCCTATTGGCGACCCTGACACATTTCCGCCTTTTTCAGATGAAGACTTCCACAACGGGAGATAACTCTTATACACACTTACACATTCTTGTCATCTTATTTTCTTTGATCATTTTTGGAGTAATTTTAAGTTTTATCAACTTTTGAATTTTCAAAGTCTTTCTAAATATAAATTCAGACTAAAATATGTTGATTGGTCATCAAATGAATCCATATTAATAGTATTTGATTATTTCTATGATACAAAAAGAGAGCTTTGCTAACATGCTTAGGTCATCATTTCAACAATTTATAAAATATATCTGCACTAAATAGCCAAGGGTGAATTTTTTATATTTGATAGAACATAAATCAATTATTATAAAAAAATTTAATTTATCAAATTATTTTATCCCCCGCCGCTGTACCACTGTCCTAAATATCCATATTTATTCTGAAGTTCAAAATTTCGCCTTACATATGGCTTCAGTATAGACGGCAGATAGTTGTAATCATTATGAAAAATAGATATTTGTATTTTTTGACATATATGTATTGATGAAATAATAAAATACTGTTTCGAAAATAATTTTGCAGTAACTTTATCAGGCCTCAAACTTTCCTATTTTTACCTTCTATATCATGCCAATTATTGCTAAATATAGAACTGGGTTGTTCCTAAAAATAGAAACACGTGACACACTTTTAAGATTTATTTTTTATATCCTGATACAACCCAGATCTTAAAAATATATGAAAAAATGAAAAGCTCTATACACCCTTTAGGACAATTTTTCAGATTTTGCATGCTTTTCTCAGAGACAGGCTGTTAAATGAACATTGTTTTAGTCTTTTTCTTGGAAAGAAATCAGACCAAAACTATAGGAGGAGTAGTATCTTGAAAGAAATTTCAATTTTTAGTAACCATGGCAACACTGGTCTTTGAAATCAAAACTGATAAACAGAAGTATGTATCTAAGTATAGTCTACTTGTATGCCAAGTTATATTGAAATATTTCCATTTCTAATTTTCTTCTCTGTGATAACTCTTTGAAAGTTAGCGGAGTTGGTTTCTTGATAATTCTACCGGAATGTAAATTAAGCAGGTCGATAGGTCAGGAGCTAAGGAGGCCTAATATGCTTGCAAATCTTGTGCGCATCTGTCTCTGTGTCTGATGCTAAGGAGGCCAAATATGCATGTAAAATCTCGTGCGGCTGCCTTTGTGTTTGACGTCAGTGGGCGAGGACTATTGAAAATTGGCATGGGAGTCCTCGTGTAATTTAAATCGATTAGTCATACATTTTTAAAGTCTGAATCTACAATTTTATTTCACTATGAAATGAAAATATAAGGAATCACTGACTAGTTAGTATATAGTATGCCAGGGACATCAACGATAGTGGGAAACATGGGATAATTTATGCATAACGGGCGAAGTATAGTATGCTTCGCACGTTATGCATAAATTATCCCATGTTTCCCACTATCGTTGATGTCCCTGGCATACTATACTAACTAGTCAGTGATTCCTTAAATCAGGTCAAAACTGTAGAAGGAGTAGCGTTTTTGAAATATTTCCAAAAAAATCTGTTTTTAGTAACCACTGCAACACCGTTCATTGAAATCAAGAACCGATATACAGAATTATGTATCTTAGTGTAGTCTACTTGTGTGCCAAGTTATATTGAAATCAGACCAAAACTGTAGGAGGAGTAGCTTTTTGAAAAATTGTTGAAAGACAGACGGACAGACGATCGACACCTTGCTATCGTACATCGTACAAACTCTTCTGTTCCTCGACCAGTGGAGCTAAAAAGGAATCAACAACCAAATGACAGCAAATGATAAGGAAATAATATCAGTGTGATTGAGCAGATCAAAGAAATTTTGTTATCTTGCAGTCTGTATATATGCTTTTGGGTGGAGATGGAGGGGGGGGGGGGTGTTATCAAAAGAAGATTCCTCCCTTATGCCCACACACTTGATGTAAGTTATGTAAAATACACTGGTTGTATGTGTTTGGTTGTGGGAAATTATACATTGTTAAAGTGAAATCAAACTGGTTGCTAGTTGTATATCTGCACCTCATGAGTCTTGAAATACTGAAAGTTTTGCTCATAAAGGGAAAAATGGGCTAAAAAAATATAAATAAAGTGTCTAAGATACGAGGACAGTACTGTCTTAGGACTAAATTATTGCTCTAAATAAATAAAATTTTCGCACATTTTCAATGAGTAGCGGCTATACAGTACATAATACTTAAGCAAGGCGGATGAACAATGATGTAAATTTTCAAGAGGTATATGAATCAAGGATCCATTATATAAGTACATTTAAGTACTCTCTCCCGCTCTTGTTCTCTCTCTCTCTTTCTCTTTTCTCTCTTTAATTTCTACAGCCGGGAAGGGGGGGGGGCTAAGTGTATAAAAAATTATACCTTCAATAAAACCTGACAAGCAAAAAAAAAAAAAAAGGAAATGTCTATTTCCCACACGCGAAAATCCTATTTTGGGGGGGGGGGGGGGGGGGGGGGTAGGTAGGTTCGAACTTCAGTACCTAAATTTAAATTTTTTTCCAAACACCACCAGTTTCCCCCTTTTTCAACTATACTGCGACGTGTCTGTGGAAAGTGGGGGGGGGGCTAAACCTACGCAGCAATATTCAATGTCTATACTAAGTATATATTTGGAAAAAAAGTGGGGGGAGGGCTAAGCCCCCCTAGCCCCCCCCCCCCCCCCCCCCGGTTCCGACGCCTATGCAGGAAAAAGAGTAGAAGACAAGCAATGAGGAATATGCATGGAAAACAAATGTCTAAGTACGGGGGATCAGTTCCATACTTTAAATGATATAGTGTATAATATTACGAGTCGTTTGTGCCTTTGCAGACCTGTAGAAACTGGGAGGGGATATCACCTACCCTAGGGTAGGGATTTCGCATGTCAATGACATGTATATTAAGTACTGTAGATCACCAACATTTTGTGGGGTTAACATGAAGTATTAATAACCAAGGCAAAATCTTAACAAGTGCTTTTTTTTGCCCAGGCACTATCTACAGAACTGTAGCTCTCCGAAAAAATATATTTACAGACCGGTTTGTCAATATATTTTTTCAATGGAGAGCTATAGTTCTGCAGCTACAGACACCTTACGAATGGATGGTGTGTACTCTTCAACCCCTAGCTTCTGAGAATTTTTATTAGACACAAAAGGTATCAAAAATGCATGATTTTCTAGCCTATCATTCTTATAATTCGAATCGAAATCTTTAATATCTGGTTTATATCATTTTGATACCATTTTCCGCTTCTGGTAAGATTTAGATATTGGCCTTATACGGTATATAAGAATTAAAAATACGATATATACCATGTAAGGCCAACGGCTTCGCTTTTAGTACGCAAAAATTAAGTTCTCACGAATAAAAATTGATACACAGTATAAATAAATATTAAACAAGACGTTTCAATATGGATGTGCCTCCTTGCTAACAACGTCTAACTTTCCCCCTCTTATACTTTTTGTGCTCGAATCTGCAGTGCGTCCGCCCCCCCCCCCCCTTCCCTGAAATTTTCAGAAATTTTAAATATGTATTAGTTTAACTAAAAGTAACCTTGCCCTCCACCCACCCCACCCCTGAAAACGAGGACGAGTGTTTAGTGGGCATGAAAAGTCATGAATATGAAGCTTTAGTAGAAGCGAGCACGAATCGGTTTTCTCATATTTGGGAAAGGAGTCAAGTTTTTATTTATTTATTTATTTGCGTCCTTGAGAGCTTAATGGGCTTTCGTACGTGTGAGCGCATTTAGAAAATAAAAAAAAAGTATTGGAATCATTCATTGAATGCTACAAAAGCTTTATTAGGCCACCCATAAAAAATTGTTTGTGTGGAATTGCCGCCTGGGGGGGGGGGGGTGGTTCAGACACAGGAGGAAGGGAGGGAAACTATTTTTTTTTTTTAATTGAAGATACCAGGTAAATTCTAATTTTTTTTTATAAATATCTCGGTAAACACATTTTCCGAATTTAGTATATATATAAAGTATTTACCATCAACAAAGAAACTTAATTTTGCATAGATCTGACACTACATTTCAGTGTTTTGTATTGTGCTTGTGATAACGGGCAATAACAAAAATCTTCCTACTTTTGGTCAATAATTTGTTTTCAGGAGGGGGCATTTCAATGAGGCGGGAGGCAATTCCAAACAAACAATAATTTTATTTTGGCCTTAGAATCAACCTATTGGGGAAAAAATTAGAATGCATTATGAATAAACCATACTACCCCTATTTAAAATCAAACGATTTTAAAGTACTTCATTAAAACTTGTTCTATATGTATTATTATATAGGCGGACATTTAAAATCCTGTGTCTCGGTAAAACCAATTATTTAAACCATTACAATCCAGGAAGTTGTTGATTCTTCCGGGGTCAGCAGTCACAAGATTGCTCTATTTCAACATTTATTCTCGCTCAAAGACTGAAACTGCATCACTCCTTTCTAAGGTAAGGTTTTATTACAATATTTTCTACTGATATTAACCTAAACGTGCAAAAAGAGATGGTTAAATTTTAAAGTTATCTGTTTTGTTGCCCCCTCCTTGATCTAGTTTTCTCGGTGTATCGTGTTATACTGTCCATATAATGAGAGGAAGTAAAATCGGAGGGGTTTCCTCTCTGTTGAAGTTTGTTCATCTGAAATATTATTGCGCTTTCATACCCTTTTAAAAACATATCTGAAGGTTTATATCTTATATAACATGTGTAAACCCAAACACAGGTATTTACTTGTGGTCATATTTTTAATTGCTTATGATTGGTTTGATGATCACTAACACAGCTATGTCTAACTTGGTGAAGTTCCCTTGAGTAAGTCATGAAGCACTTCTCAGATCTACATGTACTATAGCATTCAGAGTATAACAACACATTTTGCACATTCAGGAAGGCGTAATTTGTTTCTCCCAGAGAGGATTAGAATTCTTTCATCTTTCTGCTCCTGAAATTTTATTCATAGACCTAGTATCGTGTCCCTTTTTGTGTATTTGTGTGTGTGTGTGTGTGTGTTGGGGGGGGGGGGAGGGGGGAGACTTAATGCAAGAGCTATACCGCAATAAGTGTAAATCATACGTGATATTGAATGTTTAGCTTGCAAGCATATTAATTTTCCACAAAATTGCACCCACTCCGTTCGGAAACCCTTGCCTAGCGAAGATTCCACTCCGTAAGATAAAAACTCGGTCGTTAACTTTGCTCATTAACCTGCATACGCGTCGAAACGGGTGGGGGCTTACCCTAGTTTCCTATTCAGATATACATATTATATGCAATGGAAATTGGGGCTTATCTTTTTTGTTGGTTTAGCCCCTCCACTTTCTATACCCCCCTCCCCCTTTCCACTGACTTTCAATTTGCTCCCGACGCCTTTATCCTGCTTATTAGTAAATAAAGTAACAAGAAGATTCCCTTCTAATTTCTCGATAAAAGGAGAAAACAATTTTACTAAGTTTGAGGGCGATTTTGAATGATGTTTTCAAAGATTTTTAAGCCATTAAATTCAAAGATCAATCATTTGGCTGGCCATGTCTACAAAAATATTCTTTAAAAATCGTTCCTTTAAGTGTCATCGGAATATAGTATAGATAATGGGCACATAGCCCATCTAGATCTTGTCAGTCTGAAAAAGACGATTTCTATATAAAGAATTCCGATGAGTTGTACCTCTAATCTTATAATATATACATGTACACCTGGAAGTAATTCGATACTCATGGGCATCTCACGGAATTTTATGTCACGTTTAAATCAGAACGGGAAGTTTAATTATTAAAGTATAAATATTTGAAGAGATGTCGCCTAATATCTATTTCATTTTACGAGCCTTCACGTCCAGGTAATAGTGGAATGGTGTATTAATTAATTTTGGATAGAAAAATTTTACTTCTATTTATCGAAAGTATTGTAACATATATTTTTATAAGTGCCATTTTTTGGTCAGTTGAAGATGAAGAGGCTAGCAGTACAAGTGCTGGTCGCTGTCCTCCTGTTTGTCTCGCTTTCCCTGTCCCAGGAAGACGGTGAGAAACGCCCCAGCTACATCGTAGTGGACAAACAAATCAACGTCAGGGAAATCATCCGACTAGGAGGGGGGCGGGTCCAAGATCAGAATGGTGTTGAGGAGTTTGAGGCCCCAGAAGAAGCTGGATCCTCCCAGGGAGCATCGGTCTCTTCGCTGTTCTCAATGCTGGCCAACGCTGCTAAATTAAGGAAGATAAAAAATATGCTGCCGTTGTCTGGAATTCAAGTCCTTGATGCCGCAGACGATGACACCGGAAAGGCCATAAATTGTGGTATGATTATAGATAATTGTTCAAAGTCAATCAAGAGTCGCAAAATGAAAAGCTGATGAAAAAATAGGGGTTACATATATTTACTCTAGGGACGTAATATCATTTTGATGGGGGAGGGGAGACAAAAAAGGAAAGTTGTCCGAACTTGAAAATCCTATTTCGCAGAGGGGGGGGGGGGTCAAACTTCTTTCAGTAACAAGTCTTTTTTCATACACTACTACCTTATCCTATTTGACAATTCTGCATAAAAGGCCTGTCGATGAACATTAAAAAAGGGGGGGTTAATAAAACAGTAAAAGACTCCCCAGAAAAAAAGAACTTTTAAGTGGTTGTAATTAAAATATGTGAACACTTATGAAGAGGAATAAATAAATTTTCTTTTATGCCTTAATTTTACAGGGTCAGGCTATAAACAAAACTTATTTATTTTCTTTTTTTCAGGACCAGAAGGATCACACATAAACGTGACCTGGAAACCCAAAGTAATCGACCCACAAAAATATGTTCAAATTTATCTGGACATTGTCGATCGTAAGTATTATAAAATATCTTCGGTTCTTTTTTATTAACAAAATTCCAGTAATTTTTTAATTTAAAAAATTCTTTACTTTGCCAAACAGCCATTGACTTCGACAAGGGTAAGGCCCATGTAGATGTATACATGGAAGACAGTCCGGACCCTATTTTCTCCGTGGACCAAGATATGGCTTGCGCCGACATTCAGAAAGCAGTTGGAAAAATCTTCACTTGTCCAATCAAAAAAGGAGGTACATACTTACTGCCTTTTTACTTCATAGCTTGTTGCCTATTTGAATTTTATAGCAAGACTGGAATTACAGATTAGAATTCTTTATAAAAAGGACTGGAACTAAAAATTAAATTTAAATTTTATAGGTCATCAATCATTTTCTTTCCAATACAAAGACCTGACCAAACTACCAACCGTAAGTAAACGAATCTCCTAACAGTATTTTAACTACTGAATATCCAGTTCTAGATGTAATATAAGTTCTAATCATATCCATGTCCATGGGATTAATGACTGTTGATGTTTTCACTTTCAGGGAAGCTATACTATAGTATTGAAGATCTTCAGCTATGCTGCCAACCCCAACCCCCTGTTTGCCTGTTTGAATGTGACCCTTCAGATCAAGCCTTCATTTAAACAGGCTCTTCACCCACTTCCACAAACCATTGTCTAAAATTGACATTGTTAATTCTCCACAGAGGACAATTTCATGAGGGAAAAAAACATGTATTTTAATACATTCTAACATTTTTTAGAGTTAGCATGTCAGTATGCTTTCATTGTAAATTTATTTTGTGATTGCTGTACATGTAAAATGTTAAGTACATGCAGAGTCGAGAATAGATGTAGAATAAAGCATCAACATCACCAACAGAGATTTTCAGGGCTTTGTACATGTATTGCCCTGTTATTCACATGTTCACATATCTGTATGTACCTTGTAATCATTAAATTCCAAATGTTGGATGCCTTCAAAAGAATCTATGCATAATAATTCATGTAATTACTGATGTCTTCTTCATTGTCTTATACCCATATAGCCTTCATTTCATTTTATTTTGCATTTAAGACAGAGATGTAAATAAATTTTAATTAAAAAAAAATCAACTCAGTTTCCACAAACAAATACATGTACCTAACTGTATTCAATAATTTAGTGCAAAGCTGAGTTATATAGCTTCATTTTTTTAAAAAGAGAAAATTAATTTTAATTTATTCATATTCATGTTTAAATGATGCATATCCAAGAGGAAATAAACACATTTTAGTGTTTGGCGAAGGTACACTTTATAGGGTCTGATGAAATCCATTAAAAATTCAGTGTTCAAATGCATTCAAGTATTTCCTGTGTAAGTCCCATTTATTTGTAATGTCTGATTTCTAGAACCACTCATTTTAGAATGTGTTGCATTGCTTTCTTCCATCGTATCAATTTTCTTTGTTGTTTTTTTTTTCATTTTGTACATTTTCCTCATCATAATTGTACATTTTAATTATTTTGTTTTAAAATAAAATTCAGTTGTTTCATTTATTATCTGGAGTTTTGCTATATTAACTGAAAGTTTACAATTGTTATAGCACATCTCAAGGGTAAAATAAAAGTTGATAAGAACAAAATAATGAAAAACAAAAGAAAATACAGTATGTATACATTGTCAAATGCATTTCCAATATTATTTTGTTGGCTTTTAAATTCATTGTTACATCTATTCTTTGTCCATGGCAGTAAATGCTTACAAGTTAAAAGCATCTGAAAAAAAAGTCAGTGTACAATTTGGTTAAGGAAAAATGCAGCCACAAAAAAGAAATTAAACATCACTTAACACAGTCTACATCTACATACAACCAAATACCAATATCCTGTTGACAAATAAACATCCACATCTTGTTTTTTGACAGCAGTTTCTTTAAAAGGCAGTAAAAATTATGACATAATGAATGACAACAATATGTACATCAAAACAATCAAATTAAAAAACCATCCCTGTATCCCCTATACCCAACTGCTTCTGCAAAGCAATAGTGTTCTTCCTAAATTCCTTTTCCATCTCTTCCATGTCTTTGAGTTCATTACAGAATTTATCCACATGTTGTGGGCGTTTTTTATGCGTATTCATCTTGACTCTGATTGGTTGCTGCTCCTCGTCTGACTCCTCTAGCTGTTGACTGACACTGTCACTCACAGAATTATCTGTCATCTCAGAGGGCATGTGGATTATAGCATCCTCCTCTCTCGGAACCGGTTCATTACTGATATTTGTTGGTCCAGCAGACTTCTTTCTCTGGTTTGCTTTTCCTTTAGATGGTTTTCCTGACACTGGTCTTGTTGTGTCAAACTTTATCTGTCTTTCATGTTTTTGTGTGAGAAACACTGAAAAGATTAGACATTATATTCCTTATTGTTAGCTAGATATACTGGTATAGTTTGCCTGTACAGTTAGTTACAGAAGGTTCAATCCTTTCTTAAATTGATTAATAGAAATCTGTTCAAGCCCCTTTGTATTCACAAACTACTATAACAGGGGACTAAATTTTTTTTTTTCCATTATTGATATTAAAACCAATGACCACTAGATTTGATAAGTATGCAAAGAGAGAGAGAGAGAGAGTTGCCTCCCCTACCAAATGTAAACTATTACCTCCTGCACTTTTTGGTCTCGGTTTCTGTCTCTCCATGCCATTTGGAAGGAAGGCACTGATTGGTCGCTTTGCATCCGAGTTGTGATTGTCTGGCCCAAACACAGTATCAAGATCAAAGAGAGAGAGAGAGAGAGAGAGAGAGATGTAAAGCAATGATTGGATGAAGGTCCTATCATACATTTGTTTAATATAACATGTTATTATTTCCCACTTGTGACACGATAGCGGTGTTTTTCTTTGAAGTTTACTGTTCTGTATTAGCAATACAGAACGGGACTGTGGTGGGCGGAGCTACTCCGTTCTGCATTAGCCTTGTTTTATTGCATTTGCCAACTATTCTGTATCTAAAATACAGCACGGTCTCTCTGATTCAATTTAGCAAAGCTAGCACGTACACATAATCAATTGATGTTTTCCTATTATTAATTTTTAAGAAATAAGGAAGTCAAAATTTCTAAATCACTTTTTAAAAACTTATTCCACACAGAATCTACACGTAATTTCGATCGAAAGTAAAAAGAAAAATCGCAATGGAAAACATCCTCTGTACCTAATTTTGAACAATCCACACGAAACGGAAAATTGTGAAAAAATCCTTCTTGACGACAGCCACACGTCTCTTTCACTTCGTTTTTAATGTCGCAATTCAATTTGAAAATAAAAAACACAGTATCGAAGAAGTAAATCCTGTTTATGTAAAAGAGATTTCCCTGAAATAAACAAAAATATTACAATCATAACTAGATCCCAACAATTACAAAACTTATATATGCATCAAAGCGTTAAATTGTCAAAACAAATCTGACCGAATTTTACGTTTTCCGTGGAAATATATATATACTGCGGATGCAGGATGTAAAGCAATGATTGGCTATTTTTGAATCGTGTCACTATCATACATTTGTTTAATATAACATGTTATTATTTCCCACTTAAAAGTACATGTATTAAGATTTTTTTACTCAAATCATTACCAGTTGTGCATATAATAGCTAGCTGCCATTGATATACCAAAGGAAAAAGTCATACTGTAAGGAAACAATGAGTCAATACAAACTACAATCTCTAATTAAGCAGATTCCTGCAAAAGTGGTATAAACTTGTACAATAACATTGGAAAACAAATACAAGCTACATGTAAGCCTATATGTGACTTACAGCTGGTTTATATCTGTTTGGGTCATCATACTCCAGTCTACTGTAAAACTGGTCCTTGTTACTTTCTTTGTCCAGTTTGTAAAGTCCAGAAAATGCCTACAATTGTAAACATAGGTAGTCAGTAAGATGAATATAAAATTTAATGATATTTTATTTTCTTCTACAGAAACACACCATGATTAAAATGTGAAAATATAGTTTCATTCACTAAACCTGCCAGGGCACATAAAATACATGACAGTGTATTTGCTCAGCTTAGGTTATGAAATATAAACATACACTGTTAGTCTCTTGTCTGAGATGAGCATGCTCGGGGTGAAGGATATCGTTAATAGTCAACTCCACACCGTTTGTACTGTCCTTTCTCGTCCTTGTAACAGCACTCTTAGCTCTCTGCTGAGTTGTACGAGTTCCACTCCCTGGTCTATTTAAGTTCGAGTTCTAAAAAGACAAACAGATGCAAAGTATTTATTGTTTTTGTTTTCATGAATTATATTTTCTACTGAGCATCTAATTTCATATTTTTCACAAGAAACAAACAATTATGTAAACATGAAAAATCACTTTCTTATAAATCATAATTACGTACCACAAATAATTCATCCTCGATATATATATATAAACTACTGATGAGCCTGCATGGGGCTAAAGCGCTATAGATTAAAGTTTGAGTTTTTCATTTAAATTTGGATTTTACATATGTCATATATATTTTCTCTCGAATCTAAACTTTATATCATAAGAAATTAAAATTGTTAAGCAGATATACGTCTTCCCCCCTCCTTACTTCTCAATAAGTATTTTAGTATTTTGAAGAAAGCACGCCTCCTTAGTTTTAAATTTTTAGGAAAGAAGTACCTTATTGTAAGTTTTCATGAACTTTCTGTCTACTTCCTCTAAACTTTTCTTGTTGCGAGTGGCAGGAAGTTGTGACATTTCTTTTTGATGCGTTTCTAGAAGTTCGTCCATGTACATCTGTCTTCTTTCAATATAAAGTTGTTGTCGCTGCTGAATTTCGTGTTGGAGTCTCATGTTATCTTGCTCCAGAAGTTTAATGGCTAACCGTTCCCAAAGCTGAACGGCATTGCTCTAAAAAGAAAAAAAGAAAATACAGACATTTCTCACAAAACTGATTAGCCATAAACTATATGTACAGATACTCTAATTTTATTCAAAACATTTTGATTTATTATTTCTATAAACCAGTATGTGGCATCAATCATAATGCATAAAACAATTATTTTTCTATTTTTCTCAATAAACTGTATAGAGAGATCTCAGGCTTTAAAGAGCCCTATTAACCCATGGTATTAATGCCCAGGAACTACTTTTGTGTTTGCGATGTCACAATGTACTGGTACACTTTTTTGTCTCTCTGTTTTTAATGACATCACATGCATGTCGCATCAGAAATATATGTTCTACATAGACTTACTGTTGCTACATGTATTAGGATGTTTATGACAGGGAATTCAGAGAGATTCCATTCAAATGAATCAAACAAATACATATTGACATTACATTATCATATAAATAAAGTACATGTATTTGTTAAATATTAGTACATATGGCTGCTCTTTGTCTTTCAGCAGATAGTGTGTACTTATAAATCTTGGTCCATTTTACTAAGTAAAGTCCTAGTCATACATATTTTAATATTCCATAAATAGAATTTTTACACACCTATGATATATCTACTGATAGAAGTACTTGTAGCTTGACTGATTCTAAGGAGAAAAGATAATTTTAAATTCTAGTAGATTCATACCTTGACATTTTCAGGAACTGGTGTGTTTGTAACAATTCTGTCTGAGCTAGGTGAATGATGAAAATTAGGTGGTGAAACCCCTGTAAACAAAGAACAGTCCATTTCACACGTTACTTTCAATATTATGCAATATGCATCATGCAAAAGTCAATACAAATCTCATCATGATAATTCATGTTTTTAATTACATTTGTATGTTTAAAATTCCATGCTAAATATCTCTCTCACACTCTCTCTCTCTCTCTTGCTTAATTGGTTTAAATACTTGCCAACAATATTTCCTAAGTGAAGGGTGGCATTGTGATCCCCATCCCAAGATCTGCAAAAAAATACATGTATGATTGATATTCTAACATTTACTTATTAAAATACTTTACTGTGTAAATTATGAATTGAAAATTATCATCATGGATGAATTACAACACTAGGTCATTTTTTCTCTTTCATTTAAAGATAAATAAAAGTTCTTTTATTATGGAAAAATTTAAACTGTATGCAGGGTTATTTTCGCCCCGTCTTATTTTCGCCCTTTCACTCTTGCAAACAATTTTGCCCCGTTTTAAATTCGCCCAGTCATAGTTTTGTTTAAGAAATTATACCGTATTCTTTGAATTCGCCCCGTTTTAAATTTGCCCAAATGAGGGTAGGGTGAAAGGGGCGAAAATAAAACGGGGGCGAAAATTTCCCTGTATACAGTACAAGTAACATCATGACTTAATTTGCACAACACATGGATTTATACAAATCTGCCTATCAACTCAGTCTAATTAAAATTAGATGTTAGATTTATTCCCATACCCGATACACTTACATCTAACAACATCCCTTAGAGGGTCATGTCAGAGGTCAAATTCTACAATTCTAGACTTATTCGTTTCAACAAATATACAATGATTTTCAGGCGACGATTTGATTGGTTGATAAAATTTGACCTTTGACATGACCCTCTATGGGATGTTGTTAGATGTTAGTATGCGAGCGGATCTAACATCTAATTTCAATTAGACTGCCTATTAACTACACCTTTTAACCAAGAGAATAAGACAGTTGAGTTGTTCTGCGAGAGCCTGTTTCTCTGCATTGCTTTTCTGGATTTCTTGTTTTAACTTATAGATGGTTTCCATTAGTACTGTGGTATTCTGTGGCTCCCCTGCAGCCCCATACAATCTTTCTCCAGGCATTATTTCTGGGATGTATGTTAATTGTGTCTAGAAGAGATAAGGCATATTTTATTACACAAAAAGAGGTCATCAATTACTCCTTCGTTTAACGTAATGAAAAATCCAGAGATAGCTAGTCGGAACTGCTTGATTGTTTTCCACAACCTTTAATCTTGTAATGGTTTGGGCTGTGGATATTGGCCTGGATAGCTCAGTTGGTAGAGCACCTGACTGGAGATACAGGAATCTGGGTTCGATTCCCTGTCCAGCCATACATTTTCTCCCTTCCTGTTACAATCTTAACGTCCTCTTTTGCTGCCATTTACTTGAAGGAAAATTGGGTAAATAAACTTGAATTTAGGAAAAATTAATTAATTTCACCAGGTATGGCTGTAAGGGGCTTGTAGAACATCGCCCTTAACAACATCTTGCATAAATTTATTTAATTATGTCGTTGTAACATAGAAAATTTCCCTTAAATCAAGGTACTCTATGTTTTTACAAGATAGGGGTGGGGGTGTGGTGTACATCATCTATTCGTCAGGTGCCTGTGGTATGTCTGACTTTTTTCATGATCCTCATTGGTCTGTCAAATATAGTCTATATTAGATAATAGCGAAATTCTAGTTGGATCTCAATATCATCGATGTTTGATAGACCACTGTTTTTTGACTCTTTTCATGATCCTCAAAAACATTGGTCTGTCAAACAAAGATATTAGTGAAATACTGGTTGGACCTCAATATTATCATCTATGTTTGATAGACCACTGTTTGATTTGAATCATGAAGAACGCTGAAGCTGCGAACAACTGAATATCTAAATATACATTTGCACATATCCCAAGGTTTACTGTTCTACTGTACAGTTTTGATAACTTTTGAAATGATTGTGATGTTTAATCTAACTTTCATTAAGCCTAAAAAGCTCATCGAGCCAACAAAAATATGAAATACAATATGAAGAAGAATAGATCTCTTCACATTTTCAACCTACCGTTTTAAAACTAACTATTTTATCTTTCAAAATCTAAACCTGGCGTCCATTACTGTTTACAGATTTGCTAAGGAACTTGGCTTTCTGAAGTTTTCATTGAAAGCAATCTAAATGTACGATGACTTCCGAACAAACATTCTAAATCTTCTGTATGTTTGAAATTGGGAATGTTGAATTAGGAAAATTTAAGCATCAAATAAACATTGATTGGAAAAATTTCGCAAAATTTGGCAGTCCCTCTGAGTTAGTGAAAGGTAAACCAAAGTGATGGCATACTACGGACAGCAGCAACAGGGATATCAAGGGAACCCACAACAGGCATCCCCGGGAGTTGATCCTAATTTCCTCTGGGGCGTTTTCCAAAGGTACAACAATAAGAATGTCAACTTCCGACGAAATTGAAAATGACAATGAATCACAGTGATGTCACTCATCACTCATGAAAACATCATGAATTTGACGCCTTAACATGGTCAATTAACTGAAAGTTGCACAAAATGCAGTGAAATTTGATATTTATTTTAGTGTTGTGTGCGTGAAAGAAACTGATGAAAATTTCTTAAAACATTTAACAAATTTATCAATACTTTCCTTTCCACTCCCTATTTTTAATGAAGTAAAAATACGGTGAGCAAAATGTATTATGATTCCTGCACTGCTCTGAAAAATACCTCCTTAGCTAGTGCTAGAGACTGTAGACATTAGTAACAGAGTTTCGCAACTCCTCCATTAATGTATTTACTGATTGAAAGTATTCTTGGACACCGTACTACCCTAAGAATTACCCTTAATTGGCTGTATACTTCAATTTAAAGTCAATTTTATAAAATGTTGACATAGCAACCATTAGGTTGAATGCAGATTTTGATTCATTTTTTAGGTAAGAGTGTTCTCATTATACAATGTTAAACCACATGCAATATTAAGCATTTTTAGTACGTCTAGACTATGACATCACTTGACACCATTTGTAAGTTGCATTACCAATCCAAAGCATGAACACTGAACAGTGCTAAATTTAAATGAAAAATGTTACTCTTCTATTTTGAGGAATTTTCCATATGCCCAGCTGTTGCTTTAAGAGATGCAAGTTGTGGCACTCGCTGCACTCTTTATTTACTTTATAAAGAGTGCCTCAGTGGTTGTATAATTTGTAAAGTTTTAAAATTATATATTGATTATTTGGGAAATTAGGGAAATGAAATGAAAGAGGTCAATGATCAAAAGTTGTTAAATGCTCAAGAGATCATTTGGCCAACCAAAAGTCACCTGTTGCCACATTTTATTCTGAATAATTTGCTATCATAAATTTAAAAGATTTACTTCATTATAACTACAATTTTAAACTCTTGAAGAGTGATTTAAACTGAGAGATTCTTTTAAAAAGTAAATGTCAAGTATAACCTAACAGGAACTGTAAGATCTTGTGAGATTTCCAACATCTGCTAGTCTCTCTTATTTATGTCACTGTTTGTGCATATGCCCCATGTTTCATAGTAGAAAACAGAAGATATATACATATACATGTTAGCTTTATATTCACAATCATAACTTGTAAATTTATGAAGTATTCCTCCAACTGATGTCAACCCAATCCTTTTCATATTCACTTTCCCCCCATAAAATAACTAGGTATTTGAGGCCATCAGTGTACATAACATGTCATGTGACACCAATCATGTAAAGTGTCTTGTGTTATCAGTCATGGAATTTCAAGTTTTCATCAATATATGTCACTTCAATAAATAAGATTGCTATATCATTTACCTCTCATAGTGTTTATATTTAGCATGCATGATACAATGCCATCAGTATGGGGATGCATTTAGCCATGATGTGATAGCACCCTCCTTCGTGTAAAGGAATAAAATAGAGTTTGTGTTTGGCACAGCATTTATAAGAAATTAATTTAAGGAAGGAATTTATATTTGTAAATATATTCTTTGATCACATTGGTACAAAAATGTAAAGGAACTTCCTGGTTTTAATAAATAAATGAATGTCAGGGAGTGAATACATGCTGATGATGCTTAAACATTGACACAGTTACATCTATTTTCTGTTGCTATTTTGAATTTATGTACATGTGAATTATTAATTGACAAAATTTTACCATATATTTTTACACAATGAATTTTTTTCTAGAGTTGATAAAGATAGAAGTGGTCAAATTAGTGTTAATGAACTCCAAAGTGCTCTATCCAATGGTAAGAATGTGTACTGATCAAACAGGGGGTACATAAACAGTGGATATATACATGTAGATCTATCATGTCTTCTATCTGTGCATGCTAATTGAAAAATGTCCTCTGCTTTTCTGCATGTAAACACCAATGAACTTTAACAGTATTTTACTATGCAGAATAAAAGCATGTTCAATATGGATCACAAGATATTAAATTAAAAAAAAGTTTTCCACTTCTTGTCAGGAATTTTTGTTTATGATTTTATCAACATTTTTTGATGTTGCATAAATTATATTATGCCAAGGAATGGATCAAGTTCCAATGTGAATCATTCTTGAGTAAATTCTCATTCAAAATTACCTGGTATAGTAGTTACTTTATGAGTATACCCAGAGATGATGTCCTGTGATCTTTTGTAAGTGTAAAAATCCACTGTTTGTTGTACCCTAGCTTATATTGCATGCTGTTATGTTTAAGTTTGTCCTTTTAGGATAGATAAAGATAGAAGCGGTGAAATATCGGCTTCAGAACTTCAGCAAGCTCTATCAAATGGTAAGCACCAGGAGTGTGACAATTTATTGCTGATTTTGATTATAATCAAAATTGTTTAGATTCATTAATCACTCAACTTGATCTCTTAGTATATACATAAGTATAACATTGAGTCTATGCTGTATAAAGCACATGCTTCCTGCTTCCTTTATCTGTTAATAATAGGAACAATTCAGAGTTACAGGAAAAGGCGAAACATGAGGATTGAATACTTCCCATTTCCTTAACTGTTGTTAATTAGATAAAAGATATGAATTGAGTGGTTCATAGGAAAGCGGTGCTTACCAGTGACTTTCTCTACATTAAATGGGTTTAATTACATGTACAATATCAAACTATCAAATTAGGCTACCAGTTGGCAATAATACTTGTACTTTATTATTTTTTTCTTCATGTCCTTTAATAAAATAACTTTTCTTCTTTTGCTTTTATTTTCACATTTTTCATTTTTAACATTTGAGATTCTCACAAAATATTTTAAATTGACCTAAGCTTAAAACTTTTCTGATTACATTTTGTTTGTTATTTATCTGACTGTCCATCTGTCTGTAAATCTTTTCTCTCCAGAACCACTGGGCCAATATCAACCAAATTTATCTTGAAGCCTCTTTTGGGGAAGGGGATTCAAATTTGTTTAAATGATGGTTAAAGGGGAGTAACTAAGTATCTGTAAAAAAAAGTTGGTTGCATCTTTAAAAAAATCTTTTGAAGAACCACTGGGCCAGAAAAGTTGAAACATATAAACATAGTGTTTATTTATTTAAATGAACCCTGGGGGAAGAATCATCCACCAAGGTAGATCAAATTTTGGAAATACATAAGGAAAATGTTTGAAAATCTGAACTTTTGTTATTAATATGCCAGCATCCTCAATTAGTGTAGATTCAGATTTGTTCAATCTATATCCAAAGGTCAGTTTGGGGTCACAGAAGGAGATCAAAGTTTTTCATGGAATAATATTTGGAGGGGGATCTTGGAAAATCTTTTCAAGAACAACAAAGTGAAACTTAGTAAAATCATTAGATTTAAGAATCCTCAGAAAATGCAGTGTGAAGTAAAAGGGGTCATGTTATACCATATTATGCAAGCATTTGTTGGTAGTTTAGACTTTAGATTGTAGTTTGTTCAATTCATTGCCCTTAGGGGTATGGTTGGGACCATATCAAGGATTCAATGTTTATAAGTAAGAAATTATAGAAATATTTTTTCAATTACGTCAGCGGATTTTTTAGGACTAAAGAAGATAAAAATTCACAAGTCAGATGGATCCAGGTTTGATTTTTCGAATTATAAACCACAGAATGAGAATAGGGCTAAAATTATGATTTAATTTACATGAAACATGTATACACTTAGGGAAAAAACTATTTAAAGTTCTTTTTGAAGTGATTGTTTCAAATAATTGTTATCTTTTTTAGGTTCCTGGACTCCCTTTAATCCAGAAACTGTCAGACTGATGATAGGTGAGTTTTAAATTAATCAATCCTGAAGATTGTGATTATATAATTTATTACATGTACCATAAATGCCTCTAAAATATTATGTACAACATACTTTTCCATCTGTAAATTTGAACATGCAGTTCAGTGGCGGATCCAGGAATTTTGGAACGGGTGGGGGGGGATTTGAAGGCAGAGGGATCTGGTGGCTGTACTGAAGCCCCAAGTGTGTCTAAGGCTAGGTCCTTTTTGGGGGTCCGGGGGAAAATGTTTTTTCCTTGATTTTAGGCGCGCCGGCCCTGAATCCGCCTTTGCAGTTGAGATTCATAAATGTTTTACTTACCAACATAAAATGAGCTTAAGCTATTACAGGTACAAGTTTTCAAAAGAAATATTTTAAAAATAAAATACAGTTTTCAGGGCAAAATTGAACAAAAAAGACATTCTAACTGGAAAAAAATAGTCGAAGAGGAATGATAGGCGAATTGTCAAGAGTTATCTCTCTTATCAGAGTATCAATAAAGCACTGTTACTTGATTTTTCAGGAATGTTTGACAGAGACAACAGTGGATCAATAAATTTTCAGGAATTCTCCTCCCTTTGGAAATATGTCACAGACTGGCAGAACACATTCAGGAGTTATGACAGAGATAATTCTGGTTCAATTGATAGAAATGAACTGAAGAATGCTCTCACAAGCTTTGGTATGGTGTTCAGAAAAATAAAAAAAATCACATGTAAATCAAGGCATTAATCTGAGTATCTAGAGCTAATATGTAGACCTATTCCTTGCTTTAGAGTACTGTCTTAAAAAGGCATATCCTTCATTGACTTGTATATACAAAGTTTTTTTTCTGATAAGCTTAAGATTTTTTCAAATGCTTCGATTAATGTATATCACTTAATTTTCACAATACTTTATTTTTATGAGATTTTTATCGGTATATATAAGCAAGACAAAATTATTAATGATACAATGTACATATTTCTTCTGCTTCCACAGGTTACAGGCTATCGGATAAGTTCTATGAAATCTTAATCAGGAAATTTGACAGACAAGGCCGAGGGACTGTGGCATTTGATGACTTCATCCAGTGCTGTGTGGTTCTACAGGTTTGTTCACTCTTTACTGTGCATACATTCCATACCGTATAATGAAAGAAATAGAGGATATTCAATGGTTTGTAGTTCAATGGCTATGGAATTTATTTCATGAGTGGGACGTTTTCTTTTTTAAATTTTCACAAAAACAAAGCATGAGTGAAATTTAAAATATCAGAAAATCCTTTCTCATGAGTGAAATAAATTTTATATCCAACAAAACATTCAATTTTCTTTGATTTCTCTTTGCGTCTGTCTTTTCTTAAACATTGTTATAGGCCTGTGACATTGTAGTTAGGCTGTGATGTTGTAGTTAGACTGTGACATTGTAAATAGGCTGTGACATTGTAGTTAGGCTATGACACTGTAATTAGGTTGTGACATTGTAAATAGGCTGTGACATTATAGTTAGGCTGTGACATTGTAGTTACGCTGTGCCATTATAGTTAGGCTGTGACATTGTAGTTAGGCTATGACATTGTAGTTAGGCTGTGGCATTGTAGTTATGCTGTGCCATTATAGTTAGGCTGTGACATTGTAGTTAGGCTATGACATTGTAGTTAGGCTGTGGCATTGTAGTTATGCTGTGCCATTATAGTTAGGCTGTGACATTGTAGTTAGGCTGTGACATTGTAGTTAGACTGTGACATTGTAAATAGGCTGTGACATTGTAGTTAGGCTGTGACATTGTAGTTACGCTGTGCCATTATAGTTAGGCTGTGACATTTTAGTTAGGCTATGACTTTGTAGTTAGACTGTGACATTATAGATAGGCTGTGACATTGTAGTAAGCCTATGACATTGTAGTTAGGCTGTGGCATTGTAGTTATGCTGTGCCATTATAGTTAGGCTATGACTTTGTAGTTAGACTGTGACATTATAGATAGGCTGTGACATTGTAGTTAGGCTATGACATTGTAGTTAGGCTGTGGCATTGTAGTTATGCTGTGCCATTATAGTTAGGCTATGACATTGTAGTTAGGCTGTGGCATTGTAGTTATGCTGTGCCATTATAGTTAGGCTGTGACATTGTAGTTAGGCTGTACATTGTAGTTAGGCTCTGACATTGTAGTTAGACTGTGACATTGTAAATAGGCTGTGACATTGTAGTTAGGCTATGACATTGTAGTTAGGCTGTGGCATTGTAGTTATGCTGTGCCATTATAGTTAGGCTGTGACATTGTAGTTAGGCTATGACGTTGTAGTTAGACTGTGACATTGTAAATAGGCTGTGGCATTGTAGTTAGGCTGTGACATTGTAGTTAGGCTGTGGCATTGTAGTTACGCTGTGCCATTATAGTTAGGCTGTGACATTGTAGTTAGGCTGTGATGTTGTAGTTAAACTGTGACATTGTAGTTAGGCTGTGATGTTGTAGTTGAGATGACAAAGCATAGTACACATGTAATCGTGAAAATATTTTAACATTGATTTTAGCATTATATTTGTGAGGAATTTGGCAGTTTCAGTCTCTATCAAGAGGGTTTATTTTAATAGTTATATATTTTAAGACAGACCAGAAATAATTTTTATTTACTTTGATTTTCTTTTACACTGCGAGAAAATTATGAGTATCACTTTGATATCCATTCACACTGAAAGAGTTTCATCGACAAAAAAATATATAAACCTCACAGTATAATGAATTTCATTGTTGAAAAGGAAAAAAAAAGTTATTTCCCCCTATGTAAATCATTTTCTTTATCAGACAGGAATACCTTTAGTGTTTAAAGTCCTTTTTCTTGTATTAATTATGTGAGGAATCTGAACTTAATAATGAAAAAAAAGGAAACTATTTTTACATTTTGTATACTTGTAGACCTTGACCAATGCCTTCCGATTCTATGACACAGATCAAGATGGATGGATTCAGATTGGATATGAACAGTTCCTGATGCTTGTGTTCAACCTTAGATCATGATCAGCCTGGAGCTGAAACCCTCCCTGTGTATACTAACTAATAATATAGCTTTTTTCAATGTTATACATTGTACATTTATTTAAATTACCAGCAATAACTCTACTTCAAATTTTTATAAAGATTCCCAGTGGCTTTGAAATGTGCTTTAAATACATTCTATGAATTAATCTTTGCTGATCTGGGAAGAACTTAAGAAATTTAACATTCTTGTAAACTGCATATCATGTGTGAAACAGCTTTATTTGTGAAAGAGTTTTATATTTGCTTCTGTGGAACAGATTTTTTTTATCACAATAAGGGTACAGTTATTCCAGTTTACTTGTTAATCATATTTAACCATATAGATTTTCTGTCACAAAGTAGGTAAAGCATTATGTGCTTTTACAAGCCAAGTGGAAATTTTTACTGCTGGAACTTCAGTTTTCTATATAAATTTTGAACTTCACTTTAATGTTACAATATTCAATATTGACTGACTTTTGTATGCAAGGAATATTTAACCTATTTAAATTGATTTTTTTTATTACAAGGTATAATATTGTCTCAAGTTTTTATTATGGTTATTCCTCCTTACAATAATCAGAGCCTCTAGAGGCTAATTTTTCTCCTTGAACAACAATTAACTGAAACACTTTAGAAGGTGGTGCTGCGATGACTTTGAAAATTATATAGAATCGCGATTGTCTTAATCATTTCCTTTATTAGGTCACCTGAGTAAACTCAGGTGACCTATTGCTATCTGTTTTCGTCCGTCGTCGTCCGTCGTTCGTCGTCCGTCGTCCGTCGTTCGTCGTCCGTCGTGTGTTAACATTTGAACATTTTCAGCTTCTTCTCTGCAACCACTGAACCAATTTCAACCAAATTTGGCACAAAGCATCTATGGGTGAAGGGGAACAAAAATTGTGAATTTCATGATCCCTGCCCCCCTGGGGCCTGAGGGGTGGGGCCAAAACCACTAAAATTAGTGCAATCTTTAAAAATCTTCTTCTTTACTCCTGGACATCAAGCAGTCAAACTGTTTGCATGATTGTAATCAGCAATGAGTCCTTTACCAAATTTGTGAAATTCATGGCCCTTGGGTCAGGGGTTCTTGTGCTAGGGTGGGGCTAAATAAGTATATAGTGAAAATGCATTATTTCTTTGGAAATCTTCTTCTCTACTCCTGGGTATTAAATAAACAAACTAAGTACATAGTTATGATGAGCAAGAGTGCCTCTGCCAAAATTGTGAATTTTATGGCCCCAGGGTCAGGGGTTCTGGTGTTAGGGCGGGGCTCTATTGATTATATATATTGAAAATACATGAATTCTTTGACAATCTTCTTCTCTGCCCCTGGGTATTAAATATACTAACTAAGTGCATAGTTATGATGAGCAAGAGTGCCTCTACCAAAATTGTGAATTTTATGGCCCCAGGGTCAGGGGTTCTGGTGTTAGGGCGGGGCTCTATTGATTATATATAGTGAAAATACATGATTTCTTTAAAAATCTTCTTCTCTGCCCCTGGGTATTAAATATACTAACTAAGTGCATAGTTATGATGAGCATGAGTGCCTCTACCAAAATTGTGAATTTTATGGCCCCAGGGTCAGGGTTTCTGGTGTTAGGGCAGGGCTCTATTGATTATATATTGAAAATACATGAATTCTTTGAAAATCTTCTTCTCTGCTCCTAGGAATTAAATAAACTAAGTACATAGTTATGATGAGCAAGAATGCCTCTTTTAAAATTATGAATTTTATGGCCCCAGGGTCAGGGGTTCTGGTGTTAGGGTGGGGCTCTATTGATTATATATAGTGAAAATGCATTATTTCTTTGGAAATCTTCTTCTCTACTCCTGGGTATTAAATAAACCAACTAAGTACATAGTTATGATGAGCAAGAGTGCTTTTACCAAAATTGTGAATTTTATGGCCCCAGGGTCAGGGTTTCTGGTGTTAGGGCAGGGCTCTATTGATTATATATTGAAAATACATGAATTCTTTGAAAATCTTCTTCTCTGCTCCTAGGAATTAAATAAACTAAGTACATAGTTATGATGAGCAAGAATGCCTCTTTTAAAATTATGAATTTTATGGCCCCAGGGTCAGGGGTTCTGGTGTTAGGGGGGCGGTGCTCAATTGATTATATAATGAAAATACATTAAATCTTTGAAAAATTTTTTCTTTGTCTCTGGGTGTAAAGCAGATGAACTACCTTTATAGTTATGATGAGCAAGGGCCCTAATTTTGCAGAATTGTGAATTTCAAAGCCTCAGGGTCAGGGGTGGGGTGGGGGCTCTACTTATATACTGAAAATGAATTTATTGTGAAATCTGCTCTTTTGTATTTATAAAACATTTATTTATTTTTTGATATTAAGGGTGCCTTTTTGAAATTTGTGCAATGTGTGGACCTAGGGTCAGGGGTTTATGTCACAGTGTTAGGGGCAATACTGGTTAGTTGGAATGCATTTTTGTTCCCCTACCCTGCATTTGGGTATTCAGTAACCAAGCTAAGCAACTGCTAAGTGTATTGTTATGATGATCAATGGTGCCTCTTTCAAAATTGTGAATGTCATATAGCATCTGGCTTAAAACATGAATCAAATTCAATAACTAGAAAATTGTTGCATAATGCTCAGGTGACCTATAAGGCCCGTGGGCCTCTTGTACTACATTGTTGCCATTTCTTATGTTGGTAGTTGTCCTTTGCATACTTTGTTGAATTATATGTAAACCTACTATTTGAAAATCATTAGTTGCTACTATAGTCTCATAATAAAAAATAAACTTGTTTATAATGATTTTTTTTTTGCCTTTGTTGAATGAAAAAAATACTATCAACAATACTTTGCCAGCTGAAAGTGATGTGGAACGGTTGCAACCAAAATTTGATATGAAATGAGAAGTGCATAAGACAAACTTACTGAAAACATGTATACATATGTGTAAGAAGTTGAAGCATATGTTCATTGTGCTGCTTCGTCTTTGGAAACCCAAATTGTTGTTTCGTAATGGTTTTGGTCATACATGTAGGTATCAACTTGGATAACTCAGTTGGTAGAGCACCTGAATAGTGATGTAAGGGGCCCAAGTTCAATATCCGGTCCAGCTATACATTTGCTCCTAGCTTTTCTGTTACATTCAGGGGCTGACAAATACATTTTGAGACACTTGTCCAAGGGCAGGTGCACGGTCAAATTTTACTAGCCCTTCCTTATTTATCAAGCACTTGCCCAAATGCAAGTGACTTAAAAAAATAAAATCCTTGTGCAAGTCATAAGATGAATGCTGGACATGGGGGCTTGCAAGATCTACTAAGTATTTGTCTAACAGTCTTCCTACTTTTTTAAAAGATAAATACAGTACATGTAATAGGTTATGGCCTTAAATTCACTAGGCCACAGGCATCGGGCAATGGATTTGTCAGCCCCTATATAATTTGATGCTGTTGATCACCCCTGATGAAAGGGCTGCCAGGGGAAATAAATACTTGGGTTGTGTCTTCAAGGGTGAAGACAATTTTAGATGGGAGAAATTGAATAGTTTTGGCTATGGATATTTTACACAAAGATTGCTTATGACCTGAGAGTATGGCATGACCTTGACCCAAGGTCATTTGGGCAAATTCAACATCACTGAAAGAAAATTCATAATTCATCTCTCTTATGGACAAACTTGGATAACTTTTCCGATTTTACTCAACTACTGCTTATGACCGGTTGGTGTGTCATAAACTTGAGTCAAGGTCATTTGGGCAAGTTCAAGGTCACTGACAGAAAAATTTCGTAATTTGGCAAAACTTGATTCAAGGTCAATTGTCCAAGTTCAAGGTCAATAGCAGAGAAAGTTCATCATTAGCATCTGGTCTGTATCTTTCTCATAGAAAATAATGTTGGGAATTGATGTTGGGAATTGATATTTTAATATGCTTTGCCTTAGTTTTGTTCATTAGAGAAATGAGCAATTACCAGTAAATTTTCACTCTAAATGTTTAAACAAATTGTTAACTCATCTCAGATCCATCAATTACTAATATTAGTAACTTGGCACCTTCTCTGAAAAACTCAATGAGGGGTATTTGTCCATTTTGGACAGTTCTTGTTCTGCTGGGACACAATGCAAACAGTAACATATATCTACATCACTTGATAATTATTTAGACTATCTCAAGTCTCTAAGTTTTAATGCTCTCTTTCATACTTTTAAATAATGTCAAACATCTATGTTTGATAACATTTCACTATGATAGAGAGCAGAGGACAGCAATGCAAAAATGAACGAAGAATTTTAAAAAATATATATATATAAATCCAACAACAAAAACAGAGATTTGATCAAGTCTAATAACTATTGAGAATTCTTGTCTTTTACTTCTTTACTTTATTGGCTACTTAGCCATTTTACACCCATCATATGACCAGCACAGTTTGATGTACTCCAATCACTGATCGACAAATGAATTCATTGCTTCTGGGTAAGTGCCAGGGACAATAATTTGTCATGACAAAATTTATAACACATAAGCACTTAACGCATTTTTGTATTATGGGAATTAAAACCACTCACTATAAAGTATGAAGTCTTTATAAGCATGTTTGTTGTAATCATGTTTTACTGTATGTTTCTGCTTCAGTCAAATCCTTTAAAGCATAATTTACAAGCTTTATTGTTTTGTTTCAACTTGAAGTTAAGAACAAAACTAAATAATTGATGCATAGAATATTTAATGCTCATATATTTTTTTTTTAAAACAAAAAGTTCCATTTACATTCACAGATTAAAATGTACACACTGGCGGCCTGCAGTGCACAATCAAGTATAAATACATGGCTCTATAAAATAACTAGTAAACTTTTGTATAAATATAACAAGTGCATGTGCATCTTTACATGATTTTTTCTTTCCCTGGGATTCTGATATATAAAATAATCTATGTCAATGCCAGATGCAGAATACACACATTAATGCCAGATGCAGAATACACACATTGGCTTTATATTATATTGACTCATAATCTATTTTACATTTTCATAAGACTACTGTTACTTCTACTACAATATTTCAAATAATAAAATATAACAATGAGCTCCTAAGTAAAATATATTTTATGTAATATCATCTTGTGTTGTCTTTTTTCAAGAAAAATAAAATATGGAGGGAGTCTAACATTTCTATGGCAATCGAAAGACATTTGCTTTTTAAACCACTGTGCATACAATTCAAAAAAATAAAATATTCTTCAAACAATTCTATACTGTTGTTCCTAAGTTGTACTTTTCTCATACAGGATTTAATCTGAAAAAGAAAAACTATAAGTTACCTGTTTATTCTACATTGAAACTGATTTTTCCCCCTGCATATAAACTTAAAGTTTTTTTACGAATTGATTTTCACCACTTTGCCTACCTTTTCTGCTCTTTTTCTATGATTCCTCTAATTTCTTCTAAGGATGGCACCCTTCCTAACCAGACCAGAATACGAAGATATAGAATTCCCAGCCAAATTTTAAAGTTCTCAGCCCTGATGCGATAGTCATAATGTAGCACCTCTAGCCATGCCTTGATCTTCCCAGACCATGTTATATCCTGAACTCCAAACTTACGGGCACCTCTCATTGCACTGAAGCAAAATATAATACTCTTACAAAATTATACACAATAAATAAGAAAATTGGCCAAAGCAATATGATTTTTAATATTTAAACTGCTTAAATTGTAACCTTTATACACTTCACAACTCTGCATTCACATGTACTAATCCTATATGATATACAGCAAAACATGCTTATAACAAACATGCTTATGAGGAATTGACGCTTATAGCAGATTGTTTTTAATTCCCCTTGTCTTTAAATATATTGTGATCTTAATGGATATAACAAAGTATGTTTATAACAAGGCGTAATTTTTGGTCCCTGTCCCTTCCTTACAAGCATGTTTTACTGTAATAAGAGATACAGTCAAACTTCGTTATCTCCGCTGGTTGGGCAGAGAAGAAACTTCAGATACCTTCATTTGAGATATCAGGGTTAAATACTTTAAGAATATGTTGTTGGGTATTCCATATCACTTTGACATATCAATGGTATTCAAGATATCGGAGTTCGAGATACCAAAGTTCTACTGTACATGTAATTCAATCATTTGCTGTTCACGTTATTACCTTTTGGCCATAATCCCGTATCGGTCCACTACATGTCCATGTTCCTGACATATAGCTCTAATGGTGTTCATGTTCCTGTAAATATACATATCAACAATGGATTCTTACAAATTCTAACTACATGTACATTATTTCTTAATAATTGCCATACTTTTTCAGATGATGATTTGATTCATTTATATATTTTTTTTCAATAAAAGATAAGTAAAAAAATTCTAAAAAGTGACATAAAGTGCAAATGCTTTTAGATAAAAAGTTCAAATTTTATTTTAAATACTGAATCAATAGATGATAAATTGCAAAATCAATAGCATTATTAGCCTTATGACAGCACACAATGTTGGTGATTTAGATCTAACTGATTAAATGAGGATTGTTACATATTTTATTCTTCATATTCAACTTTCCCTAGGTAGACTCATATTTTTGCAATTCTTTTCCGAGAAAGTGGCATTTTTGAAAGAGTTTGACTGGCATTCATTTTGACACATTGTTCATTGATCTTTAAATGTATATAATGAAATAAGCTTCTGATATATAAACTTTAGGCAAAGCAGGAAAAAAATCAAACAAACCTAATTATAAGAAGTATAGGTCTAGGCATGTCTTTCAAAACTTGCATGATTTTATCAAAATGTTTGTGTGCCATTATTCTCATATGATCAAAATCTTCTTTGGTCATGTGACTTGGTAAGTACGTAGCAGACCTAGCAACTGGGCGCTGCACAAGTATCTCACAAAATATTTCATCATCTAAAATGTACAGTAATGCACATTATTATTCAATATCCTTTTAACCATTATTTAATACAGTGTTCTCTAAATAATGTTCCTGAATGATCTCTGCAAAAAATGTCCACTTTGATCTTCTGGAATCAAATATCTACAAAAAAACTTAATATAACCAAGCTTATTTCATTATATACCTTAAACCCTAATTAATTAAAACCATCACAGTCTCTTTTCACCAGCCTGCAAGTACATGCAAGGTAGCTAAATGCACTTACTTATAGGTATCTGATACATGTAATTATATAAACACTCCCTATACTGATAGCATTAGTAAACCAAATATCACATCAACACAGTGCTTCAGAAGTAAAATGTAGGCCCTCATTTGGCAAAGAAAACACTGGAATATATATGGAAGTTCAACACTGCATGTGATTCACATTTACCTAAAAATAAAGAAAAGACCAGTGGGCATTTGTCTCACTACAAGACGTATCCGGTCGTGTAGGGCGTGGTAGTCCTCCAGCCACTCCGCCTTGATCTCCGGAGGTAGGTCATAAAACTCCTTCTTTGTCAGGATTTTGTGTCGAAATAGTGGAGGTGCCTTCTCAAACACAACCCTGCCCTGCTTTGTTAGAAGGCAGAATACCTGGTAGTCTTACAAAAACAAATAAAAGTATTAGTATAGAGTACATATTACATTCCAGTGTACTGCAAACATATATATGTACTTTGTACTTGCTTTAAAACAGAGTCAATGGCTTTAGAAGTATAAACTTGTGGTAATTTTAATATAAGTGAGTGTGCCATTACATTGCATTACCATTACCAATTATTCAGACATGTTGTTGTGTCGAATCCGGATATTTCCGTGGAAAATCAACTAAATCTGGGCCAAGTTTGTACAATACATGTATAAGCTTACAGTGCACATAATTTACAAATATAGAAACATCTCTGCAGTTTGACCAAACTTGTAGAATTTTAATTGACAAGTGCACATGTACAAGGGCTGTTCAAAAGTTTGTGGACAATATCAAAGTATAATATATTACTTTCAAAAGAATTCAGGATTCACTTTGATAGATGGAAAAATACTTCAGTTGGTGTGACATTCCATGGGATTAAATGGTAAACATGTTACATATGTACTTAATTCTAAAATCAACGCTTTGTAACCACAAACTTTTCGAACATCTGTTGTATGTACCACATGCATAATAAAGTGTATTTCAACTAAATTATGCATTACCAATAATCCTAATACTTTACAAAATGAAGTTCTCTAATATGTTCAGTACAAAACAAACTTTTAAAGATATTTTCCTCATTTCAAAAATATATCAAAGAAGAAATGTCCCGACTAACAGTCTAATTTAACAAACTACCAGCATTCATCAAAAACAAAATAATTGTGATTTTAATTTTAACTTAAAATTTTACCATCAACTCCCAGAGCCTTTGAGAACTTCTGCATGTTGTCTTCATTGTTGAGGACAATGGCCTTGTAGAGATTACACATGGATTGTCTGTCCTGCGGTGACAGTTTGTCATACAGTCCATGGTCAAGTAGCACCAGCTGAGCTTTACCTTTAGCATCCTTCCTAATAAACACTGTCAACAAGTAAAATTAACAAAATTAACATGTAATGGGTAGTTTTGTGTAACTCTTTCATTGTTTGGAAACGAGTGTTACATAGGGACAGAATGTAAGAAGTTATGACCTAGACCTTTTGACCTCAAAATCAATAGGATTTAATCTTAGTGAGTTCATCTGAAAATGTGATATCTAATTAATATCCTCCTCTATCAGTGAATACCAGGGACATAAAGATTATCATTAAACAAATGTGTACAAATTCAACAAGAGGCCCATGGGCCACATCGCTCACCTGAGAAGCTTTGACCTTTCTGTTCTTTACCAGATTTCCTCCTTGTAATACATAATGCATCCCCACCCTACCCCACTGATCATAATTTAGACATTTTGAAATCTACACTACCCAGGATCCTTCTACATAAGTTTCAGCTTTTCTGGCCCAGTGGTTTTTGAGAAGAAGATTTTCAAAGATTTTTCCTATATATTTCTATGTAAAACTTTGATTCCCCATTGTTACCCCGCCCTTCCCCCAGAGGTTATGATTTGAACAATTTAGAATCTATACTACCCCAGTATGCTTCCACATAAGTTTCAGCTTTTCTGGCCCAGTGGTTCTTGAGAAGAAGATTTTCAAAGATTTTTTCCAATATATTTCTATGTAAAACTTTGATTCCCCATTGTAGCCCCCCCCCCTTCCCCCGGGGGGTCATGATTTGAACAATCTAGAATCTACACTACCCCAGAATGCTTCCACATAAGTTTCAGCTTTTCTGGCCCAGTGGTTCTTGAGAAGAAGATTTTCAAAGATTTTCCATATATATTTCTATGTAAAACTTTGATTCCCCGTTGTGGCCCCATCCTTCCCCCGGGGGTCATGATTTGAACAATTTAGAATCTACACTACTCCAGGATGCTTCCACATAAGTTTCAGCTTTTCTGGCCCAGTGGTTCTTGAGAAGAAGATTTTCTAAGATTTTTCCTATATATTTCTATGTAAACTTTGATTCCCCATTGTGCCCCCCCCCTTCCCCCAGAGGTCATGATTTGAACAATTAAAAATCTACATTACCCTAAGATGCTTCCACATAAGTTTCAGCTTTTCTGGCCCAGTGGTTCTTGAGAAGAAGATTTTCTAAGATTTTTCCTATATATTTCTATGTAAACTTTGATTCCCCATTGTGCCCCCCCCCCTTCCCCCAGTGGTCATGATTTGAACAATTTAGAATCTACATTACCCCAAGATGCTTCCACATGAGTTTCAGCTTTTCTGGCCCAGTGGTTCTTGAGAAGAAGATTTTCAAAGATTTTTCCTATATACATCTATGTAAAACTTTGATTCCCCATTGTGGCCCCGCCCTTCCCCCGGGGGTCATGATTTGAACAATTTAGAATCTACACTACCCCAGAATGCTTCCACATAAGTTTCAGCTTTTCTGGCCCAGTAATTCTTGAGAAGAAAATTTTCAAAGATTTTTCCTATATATTTCTATGTAAAACTTTGATTCCCCATTGTTACCCCGCCCTTCCCCCAGAGGTCATGATTTGAACAATTTAGAATCTCTACTACCCCAGTATGCTTCCACATAAGTTTCAGCTTTTCTGGCCCAGTGGTTCGTGAGAAGAAGATTTTCAAAGATTTTTTCCAATATATTTCTATGTAAAACTTTGATTCCCCATTGTAGCCCCCCTTTCCCCCGGGGGGTCATGATTTGAACAAATTAGAATCTACACTACCCCAGAATGCTTCCACATAAGTTTCAGCTTTTCTGGCCCAGTGGTTCTTGAGAAGAAGATTTTCAAAGATTTTCCATATATATTTCTATGTAAAACTTTGATTCCCCGTTGTGGCCCCATCCTTCCCCCGGGGGTCATGATTTGAACAATTTAGAATCTACACTACTCCAGGATGCTTCCACATAAGTTTCAGCTTTTCTGGCCCAGTGGTTCTTGAGAAGAAGATTTTCTAAGATTTTTCCTATATATTTCTATGTAAACTTTGATTCCCCATTGTGCCCCCCACCCCCTTCCCCCAGAGGTCATGATTTGAACAATTTAAAATCTACATTACCCTAAGATGCTTCCACATAAGTTTCAGCTTTTCTGGCCCAATGGTTCTTGAGAAGAAGATTTTCTAAGATTTTTCCTATATATTTCTATGTAAACTTTGATTCCCCATTGTGCCCCCCCCCGTCCCCAAGAGGTCATGATTTGAACAATTTAAAATCTACATTACCCTAAGATGCTTCCACATAAGTTTCAGCTTTTCTGGCCCAGTGGTTCTTGAGAAGAAGATTTTCAAAGATTTTTCCTATATACATCTATGTAAAACTTTGATTCCCCGTTGTGGCCCCGCCCTACCCCCGGGAGTCATGATTTGAACAATTTAGAATCTACACTACCCCAGAATGCTTCCACATAAGTTTCAGCTTTTCTGGCCCAGTAATTCTTGAGAAGAAAATTTTCAAAGATTTTTCCTATATATTTCTATGTAAAACTTTGATTCCCTATTGTTACCCCGCCCTTCCCCCAGAGGTCATGATTTGAACAATTTAGAATCTCTACTACCCCAGTATGCTTCCACATAAGTTTCAGCTTTTCTGGCCCAGTGGTTCGTGAGAAGAAGATTTTCAAAGATTTTTTCCAATATATTTCTATGTAAAACTTTGATTCCCCATTGTAGCCCCCCCCTTCCCCCGGGGGGTCATGATTTGAACAATTTAGAATCTACACTACCCCAGAATGCTTCCACATAAGTTTCAGCTTTTCTGGCCCAGTGGTTCGTGAGAAGAAGATTTTCAAAGATTTTCCATATATATTTCTATGTAAAACTTTGATTCCCCGTTGTGGCCCCATCCTTCCCCCGGGGGGTCATGATTTGAACAATTTAGAATCTACACTACTCCAGGATGCTTCCACATAAGTTTCAGCTTTTCTGGCCCAGTGGTTCTTGAGAAGAAGATTTTCTAAGATTTTTCTTATATATTTCTATGTAAACTTTGATTCCCCATTGTGCCCCCCCTTCCCCCAGAGGTCATGATTTGAACAATTTAAAATCTACATTACCCTAAGATGCTTCCACATAAGTTTCAGCTTTTCTGGCCCAATGGTTCTTGAGAAGAAGATTTTCAAAGATTTTTCCTATATACATGTACATCTATGTAAAACTTTGATTCCCCATTGTGGCCCCGCCCTTCCCCCGGGGGTCATGATTTGAACAATTTAGAATCTACACTACCCCTGAATGCTTCCACATAAGTTTCAGCTTTTCTGGCCCAGTAATTCTTGAGAAGAAAATTTTCAAAGATTTTTCCTATATATTTCTATGTAAAACTTTGATTCCCCATTGTGGCCCCGCCCTTCCCCCAGGGGGTCATGATTTGAACAATTTAGAATCTACACTATACCAGGATGCTTCCATATAAGTTTCAGCTTTTCTGGCCCAGTGGTTATTGAGAAGAAGATTTTTTAATGACCCAACCCTATTTTTGTCATTTCTTGATTATCTCCCCTTGTAATGGGACTTGGCCCTTTATTTTAACAATTTAAATTTCCCTTCACCCAAGGATGCTTTGTACCAAGTTTGGTCAAAATTGGCCCAGTGGTTCTTGAGAAGAAGTCGAAAATGTGAAAAGTTTACAGACGGACAGACAGACGGACGGACGGACAGACAGACAGAACGGACGGACGGACGGACAAAATGTGATCAGAAAAGCTCACTTGAGCCTTCGGCTCAGGTGAGCTAAAAAGTACATATTACAATGCCTCTCTATCCTTGCAGTTCACATTTGTAAATAGCACAAAACCAAATTATACAAATTTTACTTTCAACATCCTAATTTGAATTTATATCTCATTTTTAAAAATATCAATTCCATTACTTTAATTTTAATAAATAAATCTTTATATTTGAGAGTCCATCAGACTCTGAAATCTTAAGAAGAAACATTTTACCATTGCCTGGATGGGGATCTGCATGGACAAATCCGGACAGGAATATCTGATCTGCAAAGGCTCTACATAACTTTGTGTCAACCTAAATAAACATTGAAAATATTTAAAATAACAGAATTTTGCTTTGTATATTGTATAGGTTCATTCCTTATATTCCCTTCAGATTTAAAATTCAAATGAGGAATTTTAATCTACAATGAAGAATTTAAAAAAAATTTAAAAAACAAGAGTCCCATGGGCCGCAATGCTCATCTTTCATAATTTCACATTTTCATAAATATATGTATGCATGTTACTCTGATCACCTTTTGTGCTCCCACTCTTCACCCTGGTACTAATGTTATCAACAATACATAGCCATGCTGTTCTTGGGAAAAAGATTTTTGAAAGATTTTTCCTTTCTTATGTGAAACATTGATGCCTAACTTATCCCAAACTAAAGGCCTGGCAAAATGCCACGATTTGAATTATTTTAAGTTTCACCTAGTCTGGCTGAGTAGTTGAGTACTAATAAACACACCCTATTTTCAACCTTGTCTTGATTATCTCCCATTGGAAGGATACCTGGAACTTCATTTGAAAAAATTGGAAACTTTTTTCCCCAAGAATGATTTATGAAAACTTTGGCTAAATTTTAAAAAGTGGTCAAAATTTACAGGAGATGCTTGACAAATGATGATCAGAAAAGCTCACTAGAGATTTTAATTCAGGTGTCAGAGCTACAACTTCAGTACCATAAACACAATGTAAAATTTGAAGTTACTTACATCATACAATGACAGTCCCATCTTCTTGATGGCTTCTTTATCACTTATCTTGTGTCCATCTATGAACTCTGCAGTTAGAACTCTCTGAAAGCCAAAACATTTACTCTGTCATTCTAAAATAATACTTATTTCCATCTCTTTAAGAAGCAGACTACTGCATACAGGGTATTTTCGCCCTTTTGCACTTGCGAACAGTTTTGCCCCATTTTAAATTCGCCCAATCATAGTTCTGCTTAAGAAATTATGCTGTGTAATTTCAATTTGCTCAGTCTTAAATTCACCCATTCAAGAAGAGGGCGAAAATAAAATGGGGGCGAAAATTTCCCTGTATACAGTATTTAATATGTGTATCAATTTGACTTTATAAAATCTATTTCAAGATTTTGTCAATCATTTCAAGGAAATTAAAATACAATGTACCATCATTACGATTGGATGCAAATATATCTACTTACTGTTGAAGTTTTGTCCCAGTGAACTTTTGGTACATAAACATACTTTAAATGTCTTAGATCATGTTGACACCTCTCTGAATTTTTTCCTTCATTTACAAAGTCTAATTCTTGTTCTAATGTGTCCTTTAGATCCTATGGAATAAAATAACAATTCTTTATCAATTTGAAATAACTTTAGAATAACTAAAAATAAATGTGATATTTTCTTTCTGTTTCTTTTGCAATACATAATGATATCAAAGAAACCTGTAAAGCCCAGGCGAAGGCAAACTTTGGATGCATCCATCCTATTAACTTCAGTATAATCTCACATGTCCGAACATCTCCGGCAAACCTGTCCTGTAAGTCTATGTACTGCACCTGTTTTCGTACAAAAAAATGAAATCTGATGCTTCTTGTCATACAAATGATCTCTCCATAATTTAATCTTCTTTAAAGTAAGATGAAGCGCTTTGTCTCTGAATTAACAAGAAGTAGTAAAATAGCAAAAATAAAGACCATTTCTGCTTTACAGAGACTCTTAAAGAAACAGACAAAGTAAACTTTCTTCCTTCAAAGATAAAGATTTATTATGCAGCACTGTTAAGGCCTACTATGAGAAATCAAAGGAAAATAGACATGGAAAAAAGGGGGATTTTTTTAAAATTGAATTTATTTTAATTAAGTTCTTTTATTATCACAGAACTTTAATACTTATGGAAATAGCATAGTATAACCCACTCTGTACTGTATGAAGTTTAGTCCCATTGATGGACAGTCACTTGATGAATGCATAGTTCGTGTACTGAATGTAGGTCATTAACAAATTTCAATATCGCAAGGGCATACCCTAGTTGAAATTAAATAAACAAGCTATTAATTGTTTCTGCATACTTTGTAGTTTCTGAAAAGTGCTGCTGCTTTGAATAGAATTTGCGTTTTAATAGTTAAATTTTAAAGTAAATTGGCCAATGTCAAAATATGTTTGACTTTTACCAAATATTTTGTGTACTTATAAAATCACGCCCTCGATTTACAGAAAGCAGCAGTACTTTTCAAGTTAAGGAAAATATCCTTTATCTTTATTCAAAAAATGGTTCAGATCTATGCAGTGTATGCCCTTGCAAAAGTACGATTTTATGAGGCATCTTGATGTAAAATAAACGTAACCTGTACATAAAAACTCGACATAATTAATAAAATACATTCTCTTGGTAGTTAATTAATAATCGCACTAAGTAAAGGATATAATTTGGTATTAATCGAGTATTTAAAACCCGTAAATAATATTCCATTTAATAATAAAACGCATTTTTCATTGTTAAAAAATTCCTAAATCTGCCTCTCACAACACATGAAATACGTCATTTTTACCCATATGACGTCATGTTTACAAGTTCATCGCGATCAGTGTTTGTTTATTACCAACTACATGGAATTTAACTAGCAACTTTGTTTAATGCATTGATAAGTTATATTGTTGTTTATTATGCTAAAACACTTAAAAGTTGCAAATTATTTCATTTTAAGGTAATATGAGAAATACATAAAAGTCATATTTCTATGTGATGTCACAGTAAACTTTTCCCGTATAAATTAGGCCCCGCCCCCTTTTTCAAGCCTTAACAATGCTGCGTAACAGAGAAATATATCCCAACATAATTCTACTTGAAAAAAAATCCTATATACCCGTATGTAAAATAAATGATACATTGATGTTCCTCTTGAGTTTGATATGGTCATTTTTTTTACTTATTGGGTATTTTTATGTGCATTTTTTATATCAATGTCCTATTTACAAACCTTGACTGCCACTTTCTGTCCGTCATGAGTTTCAGCTTTATGGACCTGAGCTAAACTGGCTGCTGCTATCGGCTCCTCCTCAAAATTCTTGAACATTTCCTGAGGTGTTTTTCCAAAATCCTCAGTAAAGAGCTGTTCTATCTGAAAACATGGATCGGGAAATATAGAATGTGATGTGAATGATTCAACATTTTGTTAAAGACAAGAAAATTTCTTTTAAATCATATACCAGTAGATTTTTTTTTCTGCCTGGCGACAAATTTAGTTTTAAAACAAGCTGAGTATTATTTGTACAGTAAAACAGAGGGATGACAATTTTGCTTTGTTATAAACGTAATAGTCGTTAAGTTCATAGTACTATTCAGAACCAGGAGGAATGAAAATCACTTTGCTGTATATTGTAAATTCATTAAAAGCACGTTTGTTATTAGCATGTTTTACTGTAGTTATGGTAAATCTGACACATCTACAGAAATAAAATTTATTCCAATTATTATACTAAATAACTGAACTATGAATACAAAATTGTTTGGTGTTTTTTTGTGATGCTGACATACATGTAGTAGCCTGCATGGTGCAATAGTTAGATAGAGGTCTTGGAAAAGATCATACAAATGGGGTCATGTACAGCAGTAGATGAGGTCACAAGTGCCAAGTACAAACCTAATTTGCATTGTTTCATCAGAAATGATGGGACACCAGGCAAACATGAGTAAATTAATCTCATAGGGACATAAATCAAGCAACAAACCAACCACCCAACTTAGCAAAGTAGTTTTCCCACCAGTGTGATTGGTCAGATAAATATATAAACAAACTTTACAGTACTTACATCATGGGCTCTCTTGGGAAGAGCTTTATCTTGAAGAACTACTAGTGTTTCTAAGTATTCCCTGGGCAATATGTGATTCATTGATACAAGGCCTTGTCCCAGCTTTACATACAGCCCTCCATTAGCTAAACAACCTGCCAATAAACGTTCAGCTGCCCTTTTATGACATGGACCTAAAGCTTCATTATATTCATCTGAGTCTTCTTTTAATCCCCGTAAGTTGTACTTGTAATCCAAAGAAATTATTGTTCCTATTGAAAGAGATCTGAAAGGTACAAAGAAAACATTTAAACTAAATTATTTTTACTTAGAATATGAATCTTTCTTTTACTGGATATGGGTTTTTTCATACTTCATATTCTAGGCTACTTTCTACTTTGAAAAAAAAAACTTCAAAAATTGGTTTCAAACAGAAAGATCTAATACTTCTTCTAATCAGAATAGATGTTCTTTGAACTTTACCTACCAATTTAACTAAAGCATTGCATATAGAAGAAATGTTTTTACCTAAAAAATCTTTTTATTCCACCAAAAAGCACTCTGACTTTCCGTTTTTGGGGTTCTTCTGCTATGGCATACAGTACACCAGAAGACAATGTTACAGCAACAAGTCCATATTTCAGACCGCTCCTTATGCGCTTCCATCCACTGACTTTAGCAGTGCCAGTCTTCTGTCTCAATACTGTTGATGTGTGAAATTCATTTTGGAATAACTGAGTCTGTCTTGAGAAACTCCTCAGTGACTGACAGCAGAGACAGGATCTTGATAACAACTTCTCCATTTAGAGCCACTGCTTTCTGAAAATAAGGTACATGTATTAAAACGAGTGTAATAGGAACTTCGGTTCATTTCAAAGGAGAGGAGAAAATTTTTGATAGTCCATAGTACATACATGAATTGTAAAAAACTTGCGACTTTTTGTTTATTTCTTGCAAAAACGTTTTTGTGAAAAACTGCATATAAATAGCTTTATAAGCTATTTTGAATAGCTTAATAAAACTATTATTAAAGCTACATATTTAATCAAGAGGTTGTGCTGGACCTGTTCAAACCTTCACCCCCTGAATCAGGTGTTCTGCGTGAGAACAACGTATTATAACGCAACAGATTGTTAAAATTTGAAATATGATTAACATTTTCAAGCATGTAGCAGTTGTTTATATATGTACCTTTTAACCAACAGATATTACTCCATGCTACTACTACGACAGGGGTTCGCAATTATGCAACATTTTAGTCTTTGATCAGAGCTGACATAACTTTCAGTTTTACTCGTAAGTTCCTAACGAACGCGTAAGTAAATATTCTATAGACATTTAACTTTTTACTCAAGGAAATACTTCATTATCACAATCAGTGCCTAATCCGATTGAGTCTAAATCTGATGCAATTAACAAAAAAATTTCATTACTTACACTTCGACATTGGCAGACAGCTTTGCATAACTTATACTTTTTAAACCTTCACAAACTGGAGAGTTTTATAATCTCCCAGAGTCGTCGTTCTTGTTACATGACATACTAGCGTTTTTCAAAAACCTTTTTATTACGTTGCATGATCATGTGATGATTACTCCGTTTGTAACATTACATATTTTTCTTAGATTGTATAATGGTATTTACTGTATTTACTTTGAAAATATCCAAGTACTATATCCGTTAGGTTTTAATGTTTTCTCAGGTACGTAACATGTAGTATCAGGAGGTACATATGATTTTAATATGCTGTATATATAATTTAATATAATGGATTTTAATATCAAGAGAAAGACCAGGGACCTATACCAGTGTATACACTAAAACAATAGCGTACATACATGGAAAGACACACACTTTTAGGGGGGAGAACCCCCCCCCACCGAAATTTTTTTTTGCAAATATATAGATAATATATAGGCATTGAAAATTGGGTTTTACCTTTTTCCGACGCCTATGAAGTATACCTGGAAAGACACACTCCTTTATTGGAGCAATCCCAAATGTTATGTGGCATAAAAAAAAAATGACCCCGCAAAGGGACATTTTGGAAAAATCTTGAAAAAAAAAGAAAAACATTTTTAGAAATCTTATTGCTCAATTTTTTTTCCGGCAGCCTTTTCAATTTGACCTATCGGTACTTTAATTGAAAATTAGACATTACTTTGAATTGGCCATGACTTTTAAATCAATAAATGAGAAGAGATCAGATAGGGCTTTCATATTGAATATGTGTATTATCTGTGACAAGACCTTTCAGTATTTCATTACCTTCTAAAAGATGTGCATGAACACGGGTAAGAAAAAAACCATACACTGAATTTATTGTTATAGACTACAAGTGATTGAACTCCTATGTTTCAGTTTTGCACTCTCTCTCTCTCCTTCCCTCCTCCCCCCCCCTCTTTCTCAAAAACTGTGTTATAACACCCATTCAGCTGTCTGTCCAACCCAAAAGCTTTAACCTTCAATGGTCATGATTTCAGTTAACCTTGACCTTGTGATCTTGACCTTGAAGTTTTTGATATGCTTTTTAAAAAGCTTTGATACAAATGAAAACAAGATGTGTTTGTGAAACACTGATGCCCCCGTTTGACAAATTATGGCGAGGGTTGAATTTTCTCAAATGCACGTCAAACTCCAAAGGTCAATGTCAGAAGGTCAAAGGTGTTAGTACCAAAAGGAATACTTGTTACAAGGAATACATCTGTGACATATGAAAGCATAGTACCAACGGTTCAAAAGTAATGACCAAGGTTAAAGTTTTGAAAAAGTGTGTCAAACACTAAGGTCTAGGTCAAAAATATTTTAATTTATACCCACTGTAAGGTCTTATCACAATGAATGCAATGTGAGGTATGAAAACCATAGTTCCAACTGTTCAAAGGGTATGGTCAAGGTTTAAGTGTGATGTTTTATGCCTCCGTGTCGAAGTTTCAGGTGTGTCTTTCTCTTCATCTGTCTGTCTGTTTGTCCGCAAAAACTTTAAACCTTACTCATAACTTTTGAGTGAGTGGTGCTTTGCTTTCATATTTCACACGTGTTTTCCTTGTGAAAAGACCTTTCTTTGGGTAACACAAAATTTGACCTTGACCGTGGAATTTGACCTATTTTTACAAAAAATACCACATTTTCACCTTGGCACAAACTTTTGAACAGTTGTAGCTAGGGCTTTTATACTTCACATTATATTCATTGTGACATGGCTTTTTAGTGGGTATGAATATTTTTGACCTTGACATTATAATTAGAGTTTGGCCCATGCACTTTTTAAAACTTTAACCTTGTCCATAACTTTTGAACAGTTAGAAGAAGGATATGGAGATAAAACAGTATTCAATCTCAAATTCCATAAAACAATACAAAATAGGAGCAGAGCAAACACGGATATCCGAAACATCATTCAGATGTGTGCCTTGGAAACAAGACCGGTCACACGTACCGCCGTGTCTCCCGTCATGATCAGGAAATAACGGAAAAATCCGTCGTCAATTCATGGTATTAATAATGGACATCCAGTATATGAAATGATAAATTGTATTTGCTGACAGTATCATGTATATAGAACTTAGAAATGATGTCTTTCACACTTGTTTCATCAACTTGCTTGGAAAAAAATTAGTGATTTTTTATACTTCACAGATATATATGGCCTCTCCCGTTATGAAAATTAACGTTGGTGGTTTACTACACGTATATAGACAGTGATTTCACACATTTTTCTGGAAAAAAATTAGTGATTTATAAGTAGATATATTTCGAGAATTGGGTTTATCCACAGATTCTTCCTGGAAGACGATATATTTCTATTTTTTGCCCCCCCCCCCCGAAAAAAATTATTATATCACTATTTGTTATTGGAATACACAAACTGTCAACATTTTTTCTCATTTGAGATATATAAGCGACTATTATCGCACTACTTATTGGTTGTAGTTCATAAGGAAATGAGTTGAGGTATCACTTTGATCTAACTAATAAAAAAAAATATTGGGTTTTAAAAAAATACAAGGTACCTTACCTCAAAAAATTACCATTACATGTTTTGCATGAGTTACAGGGGTTTTAAAGAGATATCAAAGGAAAAATTTTGCATTATCAAAGAAAAATTGTCATAAATTGTTTGTGTAAATCCATATATATTAAAAGCACTGCACACAGGTTAATGAATGAAGAACCCATTTAAGGAACGTTACGTATGACCTTAAAAAATTAAGTCGGTTTAAAAGGGATTTGCATAGACATCGTAAGAAATCATTATCTTGTGTGTATTGTGTAAATAAAGGTTCAGGTTATGAATACAACATGTGTTATTATATAAACTGTATTCATACATTGGTCGTAACAGTTTCAACGTAACTCCAAAGCTGTAATTAATAGCCCTTCAAGTTGAGAGGATCGAACTACTAGTGTAGGACTAACCCATAAAATATACAATTTATGTGCAGTCATTTTAGCATATTTCATTTTCCGTGTTACAATGTCTGGATGAATTTTTGCTAAATAAACGGTTAGACAACTGGATTTCAACCACTCACTAGATCGACAGATCAACAAAACCGCAGCATATTAAAGGTAAAGCATTGTATTATATTAATTTTCAGTCTAAATTTTAAAATATTACATGACAAATAATTTGTCATGAAATCAATTTCGACTTTAGGTTGAAAATTAATAAAAGACCGCATTATTTGATGTAAAATCAATGATATTTTACATGTAAAGCAAAACTAAATCTTTGTCATTTCTTCTTGGGTTTGAAGGTTTAATTTGAGAAATTTTAAAACGTGTATGATTTGAGAAATTTAAATTTGTATAATTTCACATCAGAATATAAAATGAATTCCATTAAATAAAAACAAATTTAATAAAAAAAAAAACAAATAAATAAACAACTGAACAAATTAATTTATCAATTAATTAATAAAATCAAATAAATAATAAGCAAAATCTGCGAAAAAAAAGTATATGAAGAAATTTTTACAAGAATAGATAATATCAATTTTGCTTGTAATACTTTTTTACATTCCAAAGATAACTATATTCATTTCCTCACATTAAAAAAAAAAAAGAAAGAAAATCACTATAATTTTCTCCAGATACCAGTCTGATATTTTCTCTTTTTAATGATAGAATATTCATATAATCATCCTTACAAAGGACAAGAAACAGAAAACCTTCAATGACATATTTATGGCAAAAATCTGCAATAAAAAAACAACAACAACAAATATTGATGAAGACTACGTAGAGGGCAAACTTGTTTCAATAGAAATAACCTGTAGGAAAGTTCCAGGTATAATATCAAATCCTGACTTTCCATGTTCTTGTATTTTCTAGGGAGACGTAATGGCTAGTGGTGATTACATACTTCTTTTGTTGGCGATAACTGGTGTTCACACGGAACCAGAATGCATATCGAACACCACTTGTTATTAAACGTTCGAGGAAACCACTGATTGTTCATCACTAAATCTTCAACATCCTCCTTGTTTTAATAGATCTTCAAATATAACACGCATAAACCTGAGTTACAATGACTTGGAGAAATTTCCAATTCATTTACCGACGGCTCTGGAATATCTTGATTTATCATACAACAGAATTTCAGGTGAATCACCAATGTTATACACGATTTATGGACGACTGAAATACCTCAATTTAGATCACAATAAGCTTACTAATCTTAGTTTTTTGACAGTGATTTCTAACATGTCATATTTAGAATTCCTGTCCATAAAAGGCAATATTGATAAGCGGTATACCAAATATCCTGACAACTTGCTTTTTGGATTAGTTTCATTATCACATCTCAGAATTGATGGCGTTCAGGATGGAAACTTTGGGGATATATTTTTAGAAGATAAAATTGAGAGTTTAAAATTCCTGGATGTATCTGGCTACAATGGTGTATGCAAAATTTCTCACTTGAGGTTTAATGTATTGGATAAATTCAATTTAACATATCTGGATTTATCTTTTTGTAACATAAGATCCATTGAAATTGGGGCTATGGATGCCCAGACCTACTTGCAATACTTAGATATTTCATATAATCAACGACTCGGTTTCAGAGGGCTTGCAAACATCTCTAAAGACCTCCAGGATACTGCAATCAAGGTACTTAGACTTGCCAAATTACACTGCACTTTTGGGCTAGGTACCATCCTGCTACGAAACCACACAAAATATCTTCAAAGTACATCCCTTGAAGAATTATACCTTGACAGCAACAGATTGGAAATCATCGAGGTTGGGGTTTTACCAAATTTACCCAAATCACTGAAGCATTTGTCTGTCGGAGACAACAAGATTGATAACGGCATGTATGTGTTACAAACGAACTCCTTGCATAATTTGCTTAGTTTGAATGTTAGTTTTCAAATATATTCTCATACAAATTATTTTGATGGCTGCAACGATTATTCTTATTCGTGTCATATCGGTCCAGAAATGGATCATAAAGGCCAAAACATAGATCGACATCAAGGATCTTCAAACATATCATTTTATGTGCCTCCAAAACTAAAAATATTTTATGCAAACAATATGAAGTTACATATTAGTGTTGGAGAACTGCATTTTATTAACAATAATGTGGAGTTTTTACATTTTCAAAACAACTTTATTGTTCAAATTCATGGTCCAATATTTGGTTGCCATAACGTCAGATATTTAGATATGTCCAATAACTTTTGTACATACATTTCAGCTCAAGCCCTTAAATATTCACCACAGCTAGAAATTTTGAATATTTCGCAAAATGATCTCAGTTTCAGCTTAGAAAAGGACACAGACGGTGAAATATTTGGCAATCATAGAAATTTAACCGTTTTGAATTTACACGACAATAAAATACATGCTTTACCAGAAAAACTTTTTAAAAATAACTCAGAAATACAACTCCTGAACACTTCGTACAATAGAATGGAGAAATGGACAGCAGACATACGTCATATGTCCCAGCTTCAATACCTTGACCTATCGTACAATCTCTTGACCGAACTGGACGACACAGCTATTAATTTGTTGCCACAACATAACAATTTTACAATCAATCTTTCAGGAAACCCTTTGGTCTGTTCGTGTGCTACTCAGTTCTTTCTTGAATGGATGAATAGACAGCCTCGCTCTAGATTTATATATTTACAAAACATGACGTGTTCTTATAGGGACGATTCTCGATTGTCACTGCACAATTTGTCCTATATAGTGCAAAAACTACAAAAGACTTGTTCCTCATATACCTTACTTATAATGTGGATATCTTCACTTATTTTCCTCTTCTTAAGCGTAACAATTTATCGAATCATTTATCGTTATCGATGGACCGTTCTTTATATCTATTACCTCACAAAGAGATCATTTTTTCCGGAGGTTAAACGTTCACGTAGGAAAGTGTTCTACGAGTACGATGCTTTTATCTCATATGCAGAACAGGACAGAGGCTTTGTTTATAAACAGATGAAAAAAATGGAGGAAAACGGACTAAGGTTCTGCATCCATGACCGTGATTTTATTCCTGGAAAAGACATCGCTGAAAACATTACAAATACCATTCACAACAGCAGACGAATAGTTTGTGTAATGACATCACATTTCTTGAAATCATATTGGTGCATGTTTGAGTTAAATATGGCACGAATGGAGAGCATCTATTCAAGAGGGGGAGAGAATATGCTTTTGTTAGTTTTATTGGAAAACCATATCGTTGGAGAGATGCCATTGTCTCTCCTTCACGTCATTGAAAACAAATCGTATCTCGAATACCCGGATGGAGGGAATTTTAGGAGCGTAGAAATCTTTTGGAGAAAGCTTGAAGATACGATAAATGATAAAGAATGATTTTACAAATTGACATTTTTGATCTCAGAGAGAGAGAGAGAGAGAGAGAGAGAGAGAGAGAGAGAGAGAGAGAGAGAGAGATTCCGTGTATATGAGGAAAGACTTCCATTTGTCTGTGAATTTCATTGTTTCTTTATAAATACGAATAGAAATAAACGCATTTGTTTTTTGATATCACTATGTGTAACTAGTCCAAAGATTGGTGTATTTTAACATACAGATGTGTAGAATAAAGTTGGAACAAAAGAGAAGATTTTCCCCTTCACAATATTAAACAAAGAAAGGAAAGGATTTACTGATAATATCGTACTTTCTAAAGAAAATTTGGGTACTTTGTCATCCCGCTTAGTCTAACCGTCGCACTATCTTCTTCCTCAATCTCCTATCTCTTAACATTTGATAAGCTATGACATTTTAATTTATAAAATGTAAACGGTGATGTCAAGTAAATAAGGCCTAAAATTTCAGAGTTTTCATTTTCTATCATGGGGAGCAATGTGTCGTTCGAGTACTAGTATTTAACATGCACATACCCAAAGAAAGAACTTGTTTTAATGAATATCTGTGAAATATGGAAGCCCAAGCAGAAATCTTTCAAAAGCTATGACCAGTGTTTAAGTTTTCTTTTTAAAGTGTGTCAAACTCAAAACTCGCGGTCAAAGAGTCAAATTAAACCATACCTATATGCAAGGTCTTGTCAAAAGAAATAATCATTCATGTGAAATATAAAAGCCCTAGCGCCAACTGTCCAAAAGACATGGCCAAGATTAAAGTTTTACAAAAGTACGCCAATCTCCAACTTCGAGGTGAATGTTGTTGCGGATTATTAAAGTGGTTGGTGCTTGCGCTTTCATATTTTACAATGATATTTCTTGGGGGCGAGAACTTTCTTTGGGTAACAGCTTATTTGATTTCTTGATCTTGGAGTTTGACTTGCACTTGAAAACCTTATGACCTTCATCTTGAGCTGCCAAAAGGGGCATCAGTACGTCTTTTCTGTTTGATGAATTTGATGACGTATAAGGAATGACACCGTATTAAACGTGATATAAAGAAGCAAACAAGTAAAGACACAACCAACAGCTTCAATTCAAATGTAAATATATCAAATAGATCATTACATGTGGCCTAGGGACCTTTGATGTTACCATTAAAACCCAATGGATTATAACTTTAATGTATGGATATTTACAGAATTACACCAGAATTAGACCAGTCCTATTCCAGATGATGATTTGTGGAGAAAACGAAAAGTATTCAAACTTAAAAGCTCAAACAATTCAAATCAGGAGCAAAGCAAACATGGACCAAATTTAACTGAGGTGAAATGAGGTGCAATAGAGGAGTGAACACTCCCTTCCGACACGGTCACAGAGGCCGTGTTGTATCAGTTTTTTTTTGTTTTCCGTTCTTGAGATCGTGAGACTAGCTTCCTCCATAGTCAGATTCCATTTTGTAAGCCATGTTCGAGAGCAAGACTTCGTCTGGAAGTTTTGTTCTAGAGTGAGACCTCCCCCCCCCCCCGGGGGGGTATGTATGAGGAGAGCCGCTTGTAAGAAACACTGTAGAGCCCTACTTCCCTGCCAGAGTAAGATTTTCCTCCATAATAGGTTTTCAAACAAACAAACAAATAAACAAACCCCACCACCCCAAACCTTTTAAGGTAATTTTCTGTAGTTGTCTACAGTACAAAATTCAAGTTTTTCATTTATTTTTATTTAACCATGTACACTTGATTTAAAGATTTCTTTGTATCCCCATTAACCTATATATCAACTATTAGTATATAGGTCCCTGGTATCCTGCCCTTCCTATACATGTGATTGTTTGTTAAACTGATGTACGTTTCTCTTTGGTATAAAGGACACGTGACACAGCCGCCATGTTTCGATGTGGTGCTCTATTTCTTTTGTCTTATCTTCATGATAAAGGCGCCATGTCAATAGGAAAGAATAAGCTCAGGTTAGAACCACTTTTTAAAGCTGTCTTTATGTCATACATAAAGCTGTGTGAACATACGGCTGTTCATGTATAAAATAGAACAGAGAGATTATTAATTAAGAGTATAAATTGATAAAACCAGGAAAAATTTCAAAATAAGATAAGTGGCTTTGAGAGGCAGATGAATTCTATTTATATTAAAGTACTTTTAATAATTGTCACAAAACGTCACTTGGATTACAAAAAAATATGTATTGATTTTATTGTAAACCAAGTTACAGAAAGGTTGATGAGAGAATAATCTTTTTTGTATATGCATATGGTTTTATATATTTTTATACATCATGTAAGACAAGGCCATCATGCAGGCAGAAATGAAATCACTTCGAGAGAGATATGTATATGTTTAATATGACTCCAAATCTGTTATAATGTATAAATATTAATAAACATGCATGTTTATTGAAAAATATTAGGCAATACAATTAAATTAAGACATACTGTTTTGTTTACTATATGGTGGCGTTTTTCTGTCACCATTTGTTAGATAATAATGTTCACTTAGAAGTTCCTTAAATGCCTTAGTAATTTACTAGATAATTATGCTGACTTGCCAGATATAAATCCTCACGTCTTGGAACTCGGTATCTTGATATCAGAGATTGTTAATTCCACTGACATTTACTTGACATCATTATATCTGAGTTCCAAGTTCAAGATCCAAGTTCATTTTATTAACCCAAACCTAAAAATTGGCAAATGGGAATCAAAATACATTAATGATAATTCTTAAATATGGGAAACCATGCTCCTTCAATTGGCGTCGGAATTTCATAAATATTATGGATTCTGTTAAATATTACGCCAAACGATGAACCAGATATGAAAAAGAAGACGTTGACACTTTGCCAGAATGGATTAAATGTATCAGACACATTTTATAATCGCGTATTTAAAAGATAGACGGGCAATATGAAAACCATCTATCCTACTGTATTCAATAATCCAGAAGTGGAAAAAGAATTGGATATATCAGTACGTACTGGTCCCTGCTGACAAAGTAGGTAACTACATTGTCTTCGTTTGTAAGGCTCATTACATAAATTGTATTTTAGAATTGGATTTAATTCTACAGTTGCATTGTACAAATGGTAACCCAACTTATACTCATGGTTCCCTTTCTAAGAAAGAAATTCTTTAAAATCGTGTCAGTTTTGAACATTTTTAATATCATCAAAAACCAAAATGAATTTGAACTACCATATATACTAGTATATTGGATTCCGAAACTTCATAAGAACATAGAGGGTTCCGTAAATGTTCAACCAAGCCTCTTTCTTTACTCCTCACCTAGATATTAAGTAGTGAAGGAAAAACTTCAAGAGTACTGTGCAATAATATATTCACGAAGAGGTGTAAACCACCAGATCCCACCTCTGATGTTATGGAGGTCCGTGTTTGCTCTGCTCATATTTTGTATTGTTTTATGGACTTTGATATTAAATACTGTTCGTTTTTTCCAAATCCTTCATACACAAACTGGTCAGAGGTACACATACATACAATAAAAACATGACAGATGAATGAAAAAGGGAAGAATACGATAAATTAGAGAGGAAAATATATCAAGGAAGACAGGCAGCATCGTAAATTTTAAAACTATATCATAGCTTTTTCAACATTTTTTTCGTTTTTAGTTGACATTATAATTCAATGATTTTAATAATATCAAAAGCCACTATAATTTTCTGATAAGTCGACATAACTGTTTGACAAGAGGATTTGTCAAATGTTAAGTCGACTTTTCAAATAATAGTGTCAACTTCTTGGATAATCATATTTGTAAAACTGTCAAAAAATATGTTGACTTGTCATATATGCACATGTATATGCGTACCGGTATATTTATGTCGACTTGTTAGGTAATTATGAAGATTTGACCGATCCTTTTGTCCACTTGTCGGACAAATGTATAACTATCATATGTCAACTGGATGGCTCAAACTGGGCATGGACATATTTCATGTTTTAAAGAATTTTAAACACATGATTATATGACAAGTCGGCGAAGAGATCTGACAAATCAACATTATTCTCTGACAAGTCGGCATAATAATTCTAAAAATTATCGAACTGACAAGTGGTGGCAAAATATGGATTGAAACTGATATATACATTATATTTTCAATTCTATATGTTTTCTCTGTGATAACTCTTTGAAAGTTAGTGGAGTCAATTTTTTGATAATTCCACCGGAAATATAAATCAGGAAAATCGATAGGCCAAGGGCCAAGGAGGTCTAAAATGCATGTGCATCTCGGGCGCGTCTGTTTTTGTATCTGACGTTAAGTACTAGTAGGCCAAATATGCATGCAAATCTCACGCGGCTGTCTTTGTGTTTGACATCAGTGGGCGAAGACTATTGAAATTGATATGGAAGGCCGCGGGTAATTTAAAACTATTAGTCTACATTTTTAAAATCTAAATCTACAATTTTATTTCACAATGAAATGGAAATATATGGAATCACTAGGAAACCTGGGATAATTTATGCATAACGGGCTTCGCCCGTTATGCAAAATATCTCATGTTTACCACTATCGTTGATGCCCTGGCATACTATACTAACTAGACAGTGAATCCTTAAAACAATGTAAGCTATAGTGAAGGGAGGGATATAAAAAGTTAGACGTTGCAGCTATTCTTCTAATGGTTGCACAAGTACTGTATAATCGCCTTTGAACTATATAATTTTTTGGTTATTTTTCAGGTTATGTCATATAGCAATCGGAATTGCAGTTCTGATGACAAGTCTTGTGGGTGGCTGCAGTGTGTGGAATGAGGGGAAATCGTGTATGTGTGAATGTGAAGACATCTCTATTGGCTGCAGGGCGAAGTGTTATGGATTGTGTAGCGGGGGATGTCACGGAGCTGTGGAACTAATCAACCAAAGACATTGCTACGACAATTGTCACCACGACTTTCAATACTGCACAAACTCTTGTTAGGAAACAAGAAATCAAGCAAAATTTATCAGTGGTTGTTTATTTGTATTAGAATATTGAATAACTGAACAAATTCTGACCAGATGAACTTGTTCAGTTACAACAAAGAAGCTATGGGCGGTGGCGGTGGAAAGCTAGGGCAAAAATACCAACAGAGAAGAAATTAAATGTTTTTTTTTCAAATCTTGTTGACCAAAATACGGAAGCCCATTTAGGATCTATCAAAATATATTTTTGAATTCGTAATAACAAATTTTAGAATTCGTTATAACGAATTTAATTTAATATAACAGATTTTCAGAATTCCTTATAACGAATTTAATTTGTTATTACAGATTTATTGAATTCGTTATAACGAATTTAATTTGTTATAACAGATTCATTGAATTCGTTATAACGAATTTCATTAAGTATTACAGATTCATTGAATTCGTTATAACGAATTTAATTTGTTATTACAGATTCATTGAATTCGTTATAACGAATTTAATTTGTTATTACAGATTTATTGAATTCGTTATAACGAATTTAATTTGTTATTACAGATTTATTGAATTCGTTATAATCAATTCAAGAATTTCGTTATATCGAATTCAACAAATCTGTAATAACAGATTAAATTCGTTATAACGAATTCAACAAATCTGTAATAACAGATTAAATTCGTTATAATGAATTCATTAAATCTGTAATAACAGATTAAATTCGTTATAACGAATTCGATAAATCTGTAATAACAAATTAAATTCGTTATAACGAATTCAATGAATCTGTTATAACAAATTAAATTCGTTATAACGAATTCAATGAATCTGTTATAACAAATTAAATTCGTTATAACGAATTCAATAAATCTGTTATAACAAATTAAATTCGTTATAACGAATTCTAAAAATAGTTATAACGAATTCAAAAATATTTTTTGATAGGTCCTAAATGGGCTTCCGTACCAAAAAAAATAATGATGCACAAAATATAAATTGTATATATATGAAAGCATAATTGACGAAATGATACATAACGTACAATTGAAATACAAAATGACCGATTATCTTTGTAGTGGGTTCGTCTTGTTTTTATTAATTGTACCTTCTGTAAAGATTGTCGTTCATTTTGAGTTTATTTACGCTTTGTAAGTATCCACTCGTTGATTTTCCTTTCATGTATATCTTTTTTTATTGTAGGAATTTCGTTTCCTGTATTGAGTTGAATTCCTGCCATAGAAATAGACGCCTCTATCGTTAACTTAGCGTTTTCACAATTTCAACGTTTCGAAATTTCTTTGAAACCCTCATACTACACAGGTGCTTAAGGATAGGACCCCCCCATTCCTGATAGAGATCACTTCTCCTCCATTTTTCTTTAATAATCTTTTAGAACAGTGTCCAAAATTTGCGCCATATCATTCAACCTACGGATCGATTTCTAAACCAAAAGATCAAGGTTACGTCCAGGCTGTTAATAAAAGCATCTGTAATCTTTAAAAAATCTGAAGGAAGAAAAAAAAGATATACGAGGGTTGTTCGAAAAGTTCGTGGACGATGTCAATCTTTGTTATATTACTCACAAGAAATTTTAAATAAGCATAATATGATATGTAAAAATATTTGTTTTGTTGATGTGTGAAGTTTCATTCCATTCGATTTAACAGAAATCAATAATCAACATCATGTTTTGTACCCGCGGAGCACACTTAACGGCAATGTAACGTCAAACAAAGCGTCAAGAATTTCTAAAAAATACTATCCTTTTACATTTCACTCAGTATAATGCCCACTCATTAAATCCTTTTTCTAATACTTTAAATTTATTTCTTTAAGAATTGCTATCGTAGAATAATTTAGTTTGTTAAGGTTTTAACTTCTTTTATTACTTAACTCTGCTTTCCACAGGATAAGCAGCTCTGAAGCGCCTATGTCTTTCTTTGACGTTCCAACTTTTTAGAATTTTTGGGAAGATTTTTACAGTTAAACCGTTTCTTCACAGATTGTTCTCATCCGATACAGAGTCTCTGTCACTCAAATACTGCCTGTACTATTTGTACATACAAACACAACTCGCTTGTGACATATTTTCTTGATTCTTCCAACATCTTTAGAGTTTATTCAGGATTTTTCCTGAGAAAAACACGAAATTGCATCTTTATCTGCTGCTCCGTGACGTCCTAATACGTCATCGTTTTTGTCGTTTTCAATAAGAACTACCTATCATCTCAAGTTGATTTCTTTTCAACAAAGCAAAATATAAAGCCAAAATTTGGAATACGAATCGATGTAGCAATTCTTTATTTGAATTTCTAGGTTGTTTTTCGTTTTTGCTCCATTTTACAGAGAATATGACTACAGACAATTAGTTAGTATATTGTCTGTAACTTGCTAAATTTCGACCCGATTTTTGCATTTTTAAAATCTGGATAAATTTTGAATTAATCGGCATATTTGGAAAAATTTTGATACAAATCATTTGGATTTATTGTTAAAATATTTCTACCAAATTGGATAACATATGACATCAAATTAAAAAAAAGATATGACAGTTGTCCACGAACTTTTCGAACAACCCTCGTACTTTCATTTTCGGTTAACCAATGGCAGAAAATTCGTTTCATCCTGCAAAGAGTTTGCATGTGGACATATACGGAGTACTGAGGTAGCCCAGAACACGTTGTTAAACAGTTTGCGATCCAGAAAAGCACGAACTATAGATAAGTATTTCATGATTTATTTGTTCATAAAAGTATTAGATAACAAAGAACAATTAAACGATTATGAACAAAAACATATATAACATTTAAAGATAATACATCTTAAAAGAAATTTAGCAATAATCCAAACTACAGCCACATTTTATAAAATAATTGCTTCAACAGCAAAATTTTTTTTTTTAGATTTTTACAGGTATACTGGTACATATCTTTGATTTTGAACAAGTATAAAATTAAAATTGAGAATTCCGTGCACTAAAGGTATACATGTATATGCACCTACAAAACAACAACCACTTTTATAACATGACATAGGCTATTGCAACAAAAATATTCTTTCTGAGAAATGGCATCTTTTTTGGCAAAGTTAATGGAAAAGAAACAATGAGGCTTTTAAAGAATTTGAGTTACATTCAAATGAAAACAACAATAATACATACAATAATTAGCAACCACTTTGATCAGTCTTCATAAAATGATGTGTATTAATTTTGTATCCATTCATGATTCCAAAAAGTTTTTGTATAGTTGAATCTGGAAGTGTTCTTGATCGCGCCAGAATCCATCCAAATTCAAAATGGCTGATCCCGAGGATGCTTGTGCAGGAGTAAATCAGTGTGTAGTTTTCATAATCTGTGTCCAATACCCAGTAATTTCCATATGGAGCAGCTGCAAATGAAAATTTTCAAGATACGTGATTGCTATAGTACTTAAATGAAGTTAACGTAAGATGACTTGTGCATGATACCATCCAATATTTCGCTATACGGTATTTGATGTGTTGATGAAATTGTACAACATGTATGTGCTGACTTACCAGAAGCAAATTTAACTTTAAGCCTGGATCCAACACTAGGATCAGGAATGTAGATGTCGCCAATGGCCGTGCTTGGACTTCCATCACTACAAAAAAGTAAATAACTTGAAAATTCATAGAATCTATACGTTCATGTCTTTTCTCACGTTTGTTTTGGCTTAATTAAGACGCTAATATGTGTATTTTTATGTACACGCATATAGTCTATGATGCCAATCTCAACAATTCATGGGAAAATGCATAATTCTTTTAAATGTGGTTAGCAAAATAGAGAGTATGACAATATTGGATTAATCTAAATGAAAAGGGCATGTTTTAACAATTCATACCTTATTGAAACTCCAGTATTATTCACACGAATGTGGCCATCAGGTTTCAACTGGTAGTTTGCCTGAATACATTTTTCGTTGTTTTCGAAGTTGGCTTTGAATTTGTAAATTTCATACCATGTTCCTAGATACTACAAACATAAAAGTTTCTTCATGAAAAAATGCCTTTTTAATTACATTTGAAAAAAAAATTCAAATGCTTTAAAGTGCTCCTTATATGAACACCATCAACTTGGCAGATTTTCTTATATCTTAAATTCAACATACTAGAAACGTTTTAATGTCTTACCCTGGTGAGGTTAAAATTGTCTTTTGTAGAAACGGTCGGGCATCCAAAGGCGCCGAATTCTTGAGCCTGTGACACAGCGACAAAAGAGGCAACAATGACAAGGAGCAACATCTTGTTCAACATGTGTTCAACAGAATCTGTGTGTTACATTTCGAATATTTATAGAACTTATCAGGGGTCCAGAATGGGGGAAAGGATCAAAATTTATCTATAACCTTTACAATTCAATGGTCACTGGATATTTCGTGTAGATATAATTCTTATCTGTGTTCAATAAATACAGAGGGTCTTTGGCAATCTTTTCCTTTCCCCTTTCTTCAACTGTTCCTCCCTTTGGGACCCATTCTATTCACGTGTCCAAAGGCATGGCCTTTTTTCTGGTTTTGTAATTTTGTTTATGGTGGTTAGGTAATGCCTCAACATTTTTGGGTTGGTTAGAACTTCGTGTACTGACTTTACCAATTCTTAAGGTCATCGGACCATCGTAGCTAACAAAGACGTCGAGGAATCCCCATAGACCTAAAATTGTTGTGTGAAATAAACTTAAATATACTTACTAGTACTTTTGAAACCTTTCTAATCACAGATAAAAAATGAAATGTGTACTGATATGTCTTAGTTCTTTAAAATGGTGTTATCATATAATATAATGTTATCAAAAAATTATATCTTAAGCAATTAATTTGATTGCATTATTAAATAATTATGTATAATAGTTCCCTTGATTTGATCCATTTGATTATATATATTCCCCTTATTGACACTTAGTAATTTTTTTGGAATCGTAGATGACTTTCGAAAACATTTTGTGTTACTTAACTCTAAGTACAGGAGTACCAATTTGTATCGAATCGTTATCATCTGAGATATTCGACACAAGAGTGATATTGATTTTTAGTATATAAATAAACAATTCCCATCAATCATCGTAAATCAATTAAATAAAACCGAAAAGGGTCAAACTAAAGCGTAAACGTCCCCTTGCATCATTGCATTAATATCCTCACACAACCCCAGAATTTTTTTTACTGAATTCTAAACTTTTGAATGAATCAAAAAAAATCCTTGTTTTTCATTTATCATACATGTATTGTTTTTTTCATTTTCCAAGAAAACACTAGAACACAAATGGATATACATCTATGCATGCATAGTCAAGTACATGTATGTGGACTACGTATAATCACAAGCAACTGACGAATGAATAACGCCCCTCCCACTTTTTGAGGATTGTTATTAGACATGATTCTTTATCTAAAATACATAGATTCCTATTCTATCATGTTATATATATTCCAATTTCTGATAGGATTTTCCTTTTGTTGTTGCTGATAAGTTTCAGATATTGACCATATATGGGTATAAATTAAGATACCAGTTTACATATACCCATGAAGAGGCAACCTCCAAACAATAACAACAACAAAGGGAGCATGATATCAGAAAATATTCAAATCAAAATATAGGTAAGACAGACTAAAAAATCATGTATTTTAGATGAATTATCGTGTCTGTTTAACCAGTGGTACTTTGAGCACATAGCTCATTAAATGATACCCACCGCCTCCCATATGATTATACAATCAAAGTCTATGTTTTGCTCTGGGAGAACCAAAGTAAGTTTCAGAACAAAAAGTAAAATAAGAGGTAACAATTACATTATGTATACAATTATAAATGGATTCATTTTTTTTAAATGGGAGAAAAAAAAACAATATTAAACTTTGATCCAAGTGAAAAAAAAACAGAAACAGATAAGTGCCAACTAAAATATCTAATAAAGCGTAATGGTAATTCCAACTTTAAAGCTGGAAATAAAAATTTCAAAGTTTATGGTAATTCCAACTTCAGTCTTTGTTCTTCCAACGTTTAAGTCGGAAATTCTAAATTTACAGTGGAAAATGCTAAACTGTAATCTTTGATCTAAAGTTGGAATTATCAATGTTTCTTTAAAGATGGAATAGAATAACCAACTTTATATTTGGCAATTCCTTCTTTTAATCTTTGCCTTTCCATCTAAAAAGATTGAAATTCCAACTTAAAAGCTGGTAATTCCACTTGAGAATTGTCTATTATCTTAGCTTACAAGTTGGCTTTTCCAAATTTGTGACTCCAATTTGTAGGTCAGATGACACGTTTCTTGAAATATATTATCTTTCCTAAGAATTTTCCATCACAAAAAATTGAAGTACTTTACCAGGCATTTGTGCAAGATCACAGAGGTGTCTTTTATGTAACTCCATTGGTAACCTCCAGAACTGATAATATAAAAATCGAAGAACAGTACATATATTTATTTTTAGGGCATTCAAAATCTCAAAAGAACTGTTTTAAAATATGAAGAGATTTAATACAGAACTGATATTCGAAGACGTGTTGTCTGACCGTATTCATGGCTTTTCCAACTTTGAGCTTTTTCAGCCCTTACCCATAGCATGTCCTTTAATTTGAATTAATCCCAACGAAACTGTAAGCAATAAATTTGTGTCAATTTATTTTACCATGACCTTCCCTTTGATCTTGTATATAACCTCCTCGATCTCGTCTGAAGAACCGCTCTCCATGTCCCGCAGTGGATTCGAGCCAACGACGCAGAGGTCTTACTTCTCGAGTCTAGAGCAAACGCTCTCACCACAGCTCTACACAGGCTACTGGAGAGATTATGACACGGTGATATTTCAGAACTATGATCCATCGTCAAGGTGAAAGGGATTTATGAAAGCAAAGTAAATTTTGTCATGTCCATAACTTTGATATGAAAACTTATACGAAAGCAGTTCGTTTCCAGAAATAAGATTTTAAACTTGTTTGAAAAAAAAATACATAATGTAATGAAAGAAAATGAAAAATACTTAGTACTGAACGGCATATTTCTTTTCTTTTGAATCGATACTCATGACGTCATCAACAGTTCACTGATGGCTATTAAATACTTTAAAAATGGTATTGTCGTCTCCTGTGTAGAATTAATTTGTATGGACACAGTAAGTTAAATCGTCAAACAAACAGGCTTGATCAAAGTTAACACCGTTTGGAATCTTATGAAGTTTAAAGAGATAAGACAATGTTAGAATCAGGGATTTTTGGGGTATAAGTAAACAAAACCCATGTAAAGTACAATTGACATGGCATAATATTGAACTATTATTGATCATATGAATGACAATGTACCACCAAGTACGAAACTACACTTTGCAGACCCTTTTTTTACATTTCAACGAGCATTGTGCACTCCTTAGGACATATACTAAACTTCATGTGATGTATGATATTTATATGTTTCCCGTTGGTTATTTTAAGTACTATAAAAATATCATACCTTTTTAATAATTTTCAAAACTGTCGATTTTGTTTATTTTTCCAGGTTTGGTTTCCATGCACTTCTTTACTATGCAATAATTCTGAAAATAGTCAGCTCAGGTAATGGATTGCAATTGTGAGATGAAGCTGGAAGATCCTTTCTACCAAATGTAATTATGAACGATTCATTTTCTGTTTGCTTTCAGATCCTCAGAGCTGGATTGATATTGACGCGGAAAAGGAAGTGAGAGCTGGGAAAGATGATTTGATACTCATATGCCGAGTACCAATAGGGCGACTGTCAGAAATCAACAGGAATTTTAACATCCAGTTGAACAAGAAAGATCTAAACGGACAAAACGAAAAATCACTGGTATCTATTGACTATGACGTCATAAAATGGAAGGATGAGGGGTTCGGTCGAAGACCCGGGGTTAAAGTGACGGGGCTGGTGAAAGTGCTGGGTATCCCAGGGCTATCCCTTGTGATAGACAGAAATGAGATCGGGTGTGGGAGGGACTCTGGGGTCTACTTCTGTGCCATGACAGCCATTAAAAAGGATCTCAGTGTGGTTGCCAATGCTAGAAGTGAAGAATTAACGATTGTGGTTACAAGTATGTACTTCTATATTTCTACAATTAAACTGTGACTATAGAAATAGAACAGAACATATACATAACAGTTGATTAACTAAATCTATTATTTAATTTTTTAAAAACAGTTCTGAAAAGTGATTAAAAAAACCAATGTTCCTCAGAAAATTGTCGGTAATTAGAAAATCTCTAGAAAATGGCATGATTTGAGAATCTTTCGTCATTTCTTGAACCCTTTAGAGAGAAAACCCTTAACGTTTAAACAATGGGATTTCTTGGTTTCCTGACGTACATAACTACATGAACGTTTAAACTACAATATATTTCTTCAGGTGCAGATGTTTCAAAAATCCCTTTTAAGTGCCTTATTACAGAGGTAGAAAAACATATTAATTACTTTTATCATTTTGACAGAACCACCAGAAAACCTGGGACCTATTTTATTTCGTGACAGTAATGGGTTGGAATTACCATCACGGAATTTTTCCGAGGGCACGAGTATTGTTCTGTATTGTGCAGGAGATGCTTACCTTAATTCTGTAAGAAAAAATACATTTGTTAGCTTTTTAGGGATTTTTTCTAATTAAAAAGTAATCTCAAGGCTTTTTTTAAAAGTAATTATATGTACGAATTTATTTCATCATTTTTATTATTTTTCACCAAAGTTCTTTACGTAACAGTGCCATTCGTGTTACATAGTTCATTTTTAATCTTTATTTCTTACTTTGCAAAATTAATCCCCATTTATATCACGTGCTTTATGAAATCAGTAATAATACCTTCATCAAGATTCACTTAATTTGATATTGAATATAGGGAATAAGATGGTGTATCAAGCGAGAAAAAGACACAACTTTTGCAGTCATTCATGACAACACAACAACAAGGTCGATGTCCCATAATGGTTATCATTACAAACAACACAGTTCTCTATCACTGGAAGTAACATCGGATGACTCGAATACGGAAGTGCTATGTGAATCCGGATACGAAACTCTTTGTGGAACCGGAACGGCGAACGTCACTTCTTCTTTTATGTTCTGTTAGTAGCATTAAATAAATTTGAAGTATAATGCATTTTATAATCGTGTAACATTTTTTATTATTATACTTTCATGTTAAATACTAAAATCTGATTGGTTTACACGCAGTTAACAATCCGTTCGATTACCCTGAGCCTTAGCAACACATATGACAACGGGTAACACAACGGTAATGTCACATGCGTGGAAATTATGCGCGCACGGTTCACCGTAGAATTCTCAAAACATCAGTTGCGCGTTTGAAAGAACCGGAATTAACTTGACATCAATAAAAGCTTGCGTCCGATATAGCTTACTTGAAAACAACAAACGACAGACGATACATACTTGCGAGCCAGAAATAACGAAACTTTATATGATAAATGACTCTAATTCGAGTATCAAACAAACAATAAGGAGGTTAGTGAACCGGTGAGTGTGAAAGCTTTCTATACATGAACGTAAAGACGATCGAAGGTATTTTTTTTGCTGACGTCCTAAATCAATAAGACATTCAGTATAATAAAATAAATGGTGCCTGTTTTGGAGGGTAACATTTGAAATTGACACCCCTCGGAAAAATTTCAAAATACGCGTCGGTTGAAAATGGTTTTTTATAATTTCAAATGTTACCCTCCAAAACAGGCACCATTTATATAATGTACATGTACATTCTGTAGAAAAAAATTATATACAATTTGTGGCATATCTTCTTTTTCTAGACTCATCATATGAAACATCCACAACAAATGTCGATGACACATATTCAACATTTAATGGTCATGCAACTTTGAATGAATTGACCACGGAGAGCACACCAAACGAACCATCTTCTCTGCAAAATAGATACTCCTCGTCACCCTTTACAACTGAAGAATTTTCTTCTACTGATGAATCACTTAAGTCTACAAACATGTTCGTTCAAAAGTTTTCAAATTCATCCACAGAGTCCTCCAACACGATACAAATGTCATCCGTTAAAGCGCTTACACCTGATGAAACTGATGTGCTCTCTACCACCGCTTCTCCTGACATTAGAACTGAAGGGTTCTCTACCTCTACCCCGCCTGCCTATAAAACAACCGCAGTCCCTTATTCTTCGACCCTCCTCAGTAAAACTATTTCAACAGACGAAACCACAGAATCGATCATAAACAGACAAAGTACTTTATACATGCGAGAAAATATAACCGACGGAACCAAAAATACAACACGATCTCCTTTATCGGGAGCAACTTTAGAGTTTCATTCAAGTGAACCGTTTCCAACCAAAATTTCTACAGAAGAAATGCTTACTACAGATATTGAAAAAACAATCAAAACTTCGTCCTTTACTAATTGGGAAACCACGGTCCATGTGGACAATTTTACAGAAATTACTGTAGATTTAGAGAATAAAACGCAAAACAGCGTAGTTTACGTCGAAACAACTACCTATAATGGAACCAATTCAAACACAACATCAGGTTCAGAACCTAAACTTTTCGACACAACTACTGAAAAGATCTCTTTAAATTCGAAACACGCACAAACCACGGAGAATGAATATTCAACTACAGACACTTTTACGCAGGAATCAGCACAAATCAGCATTTTAAAACCGAATTTTCAGGATGGCCAAAGCACTCAATCGGTGCTACATTCTACGGTCAACAATGGCAAGAAATACACTGAAATCACACCATCAAATAACATCGAAGTTTTTAACTCCAGCGTCTTTTCTTTGCTATTCTTAACAACCATGCCTGTGGATGCGAAAGTACCGTACAGAACAGACAAAAGTACATTATTGACAGATTCTACTAATACAAAAATGTTCTCTTCGTCCGTTTCTAGTACTGCTTATAGTACATCAGCTATATCTAAACCCATCCAGAGTACGGACTCATCGGGAAGGACAACAGAGATAGATCAAACTAGTACAATTCCAAGAAGAACACAGGAAATTGACCGTATAACCTCTTCATTTATGCCAGTCACAAATACCTCAGCTTTAACTGCAATGGTAGCTTCTGCTGTTTCAGGTGATCACAAGACTAGTGGAATAAACGCACCTTTTACCGGTCGACCTACATTTCAAAGCAATTCAGTACAGCCTCTTACAACGTCGATGACCTTGACGACCCGTTTTCGAAACGGAATCCAGCGTAAAACACCAACAGTTACTTCTTCAATAAAAACATCCAAAAAGACAAATCCAATCCATTTGATTATGACGACATCGAAAACAAGAAGACCCAGGCCTAATAAACATCCGATACACCAAAGTACGAATTTTCCAAGGCAAACGGCGAAGACAAGAAGACCTAAACAACCAAACAGAACAACCAACGTGCCATATGGCCTCATGACGAGCACAGCACCATCTAAAACTACGGACATTCCCGCAAAATGGCGCACGATTCAGTTGACGGTTATGACTGCCATGTCGGTGACTGTTGTTGTAACCATGGCGATAGGATTAGGACTGATTTGGAAAGCAAAGTTACAGATAGCTGCTATAAAAATTAAACCTTCTTTGGTCCATGTGTAGTTCTTAGATTTGGCTTCCAATTAAAGCATGTAAAAATGTGTGGTGGTTTATTTTGCTGTGGACTTGTTTTAAAATACCGGGTATTATTCTCTATATTTAAAAAAAAAGATTTTTTAAAAATTGTTTATGACAACTGTCATTTGAAAATTCTAAAAATAGTTATTTGACAGTATAATCGAATGATTTCAATGCGTATCAAACTATGAATCTACTTTGCAGGATTTTGTGGTTATTCCTAAATGGAACATCACCTAACCTCACCTATCCTCTCCGTGTCCGTGGGCACATAAGACCCCAATACACTGCCTACACCTGCCTCTGTCTTTGTCTACTGCCCTCGCTGGTACCCAGCTATTTCAATCCAGATGCAGTGTTTCTTGTTCTGTTGTTCTTGACTACGTTGTTTTCTGTCACTTTCCTTTTTCCATCAGGTTGCCATATTAGTACAGTGGTACAAATCCTGGCGTACTCCATACTTAGTAAACGGCGAACTCGATTACACTTTGTTGGAGTACTTCATTTGATATTTTTATCAAGCTATCTTATTCTCAAGATTTTTTCCATTCTGGAGGATGTCAGTCTTCTGTTTGTCTCGGTCTATTATTTGCCATATTACACCTGCGTACATTAGAACTGTCAGGAGTGATTGTTATATAGTTTAACTTTTGTTTGAATGGAACAAATTGCATGGAACATTTTGATGAGCTCCAGATTTTTTTAACCCTCTATATAAGAAGCTGTTCAAAACATGTTGGTTGTGTCTTCATCAGATCCTCGTTGTGTTGTAACGCCTCCAAGGTAAGTAACTGTTTCTGTATCCATCAATTTTGACTGAGTCTGTTATGTCAGAGTTGAACCTCATCACTTTGACTTTCTCATTGTTTATTCTGAGTTTACAAACAATGTAGTGTTCCATTACGTACATGTCACATCATGTTACGGTGTTTTAATACTTTATAGTTGTTCTGCATGTTGTCCCCCTCCCTCTTCCCTCTGTTGTACCTTCCCTCTTCTAAAGGTTTTCCACTTCATCTTGGATCCTTTTTATCACTGTTTTGGAGATGACTAGTTTGCTTGACATGGTCGAAAGTGTGATACCTGTTTAATTACTGGTAGACCGATATATCGCTTTTCTATGGAATCTTCACAATCAGGCCTTTACTCCAAATCGATGATATGGTTTCTTGCTACTCCAAATCGATGATATGGTTTCTTGTTTCCATATTGTTGGGAAGAGATCCCCCCAAATTCTAATATACATGTATTACTGTTGCTTCTGTGTCTGTTCTTAACATCTTAACTGTTATCCCATCAACTCCTCCAGATTTTCTTTCATTTAGTTTAGCTTTGATAATTTCTTCTTTCCGTATGAGGCTGCTTGTATCTATCTCATCTACTGCTTGTCCTTTGTTTTTAACCTTTAACGGACGTTCTGGTTGTGGTGGTTTAATATTTATTGAAAGTGCTCCTTCCATCTTTTCTTTCTTTCATCTTAGCTGTTCAGGATCTTATCCTCTTTGTCGTTTATTGTTGTTGTCATGCCTTTATTCTCAAAACTTAGTGCTATAGATATCTCATACATTGTTCCGTGTGTCCATTAAACTTGCTGATTTTTCTGCTTAAATAAAAATGTCTTCTGTCCACTTTCTCCTTTCATATCTCAGGCTAAGTTTTACCTCTCTGTATTTAGTTGAATATTTGTTTCTTAGGCTTTTTCATCCTTTCCGATCTGCCTTTAGTTGGACCTTTAGTTGCTTCTTTACTTCTACCACCTTCCAGGAGTATCTGCCTTATCCAAAGTTTTTATCCCTTTTTCTTTCACTCCAAGTATGCTGTATGCTTTCTCGTTGTAATCTTTTATCATGCTTTTCCATATGTCTTCCACGGCTATCAATTCTTCAAGCACCTAAAATCAAATTTTAGCCCCTTTCTCTAGCTGTTGTAGATTTGTGACATATTTTTTCAACCCCTATCTACATTTCGCTTTTGTTTGTTATAGGTTTTATTATACCCCACGATTGAAAAGTGGGAGGGTATATAGTAGTCGTTATGTCCGTCCATCCACTGTACGTCCGTCTGTTACGCTTTGGGGTACCCATCTCTTATCCGCAACTACTCTCATACCACTGAAAGAAATTTGATGAGACTTTCACAGAATCTTTATTACACATTGCCATTGTGCACCTTCTATTTTACTTTTTGATCCGACACATGTTTTGGGTTTCCCATAGCAAAACATGGGCACTGCCATTATATTCAAGAGGGAGGCTGTATTCATGTGGGAGGCGGGGGTATCATTTAGTGAACTTATTGCTCACAGTACATCTAGTTTTAATTTTATTCTGATCACACCACTTCTTATCAGTTTCTGATCGCTGATTGCACCAGTGCACTCATCACCCTTATATTTACGACGGATGCTCTGTGTTATTTTGTATATTAGCACTCGATCAATTTGGTTTTCTGTCTTCCCATCAGTGAGATTAAGGAGATCTTTTACCTTTGTTTATGGGGAAATTTTGTTCCTGTAATCACTAAAAGTTGTTGATCTCGAAAATTTCCAATACATGTAGTCGTTCTCCGATTTCATTTCGCTCTCTTATCCCATGCTTCCCTATAGCACTTTCATGGTCTTTGATGTAGCTGCCATCCTTTGCATTGAAATCTCCAATAATGAGCAGTTATTCATGCTTTGGAATGTTATTATTGACTACCTGAAATTATTCCATGAATGCTTCTTTTGTATCTTCAGGGTTTCTTTTCTTGGTGAATACTAGTATATAACAATAAGGCTTACTTTTAGGGTTGATGAGCAGAATCTTGCGCACATCAATCTCTCATTTATAGGTTTCCATTCCATCAATGACTTCTTAGCTTTCTTTGTCAGCATTATTGCTACTCCTTTTTGATTGATTCATTCGATCTTTCTGAATAAAGCATTAGTTTTCCACTTTGCAATGTTTTCCCTTTTAAAAGCCATCTGACTTCACCTAACCCGAAAATATCCAGCCGATATCTGTCCATCTCCTGTTTTATCTGCGATGTTTTTCCTGTAATATACATACATGTAGATCTCACATTCCAGCTCCCTGTATAGTTTTCAGATGTGCATAGGGACCTCGGTCTGTGGACGTCCAACTTGTTTTCATCCACCTAGCTGCTTCTTGTCCTCTACGTTAACGTTTATCACAGCTAGAGGGCTTGCCACCCGTTGTGTGCTCAGTATATTTTGGGTTTCCGTAATTATGAAGATTTCACTTTGCCTGGTAATTAGCCATGCACCCCCCCCCCCGGACTCGGAGGGTTATTGGTATTCTGTTCCGTTTTTAAGGGACTGGAGTCTCGCCTTCATCACTGACACTTACCTACCAAAGACATTACCAGGGTCACCAAACGTTAAGGTGTGACATGTGATTCGCTGGCGGAATCTGTTTGAGACAATTAGCATTACTCAAGGTTTTGTAAGGTGAGACCTACTGAACACCCCTCGAGACCTAAACAGCATTTGACGCGAAAAATAAACGTTATAGCCTTATAATGCGTCAATAGGAGTTGTAAAACGCCTTTCAAATGTGATTCAAGAAGGCATTATTGCAGCAAGGTATCCAGGAAGATAAAGATTTTCAAATATACAATGTGCATTTTCTGGTCAGTATCCAAGACAAAATGCATTTCATATTTTTGTGAAAAAGCTGCACGATTACTTGTTCCTCGATGCCGATACTGTCTGCTTTCTGTCGAAGAAGAAATATCGGGAATTCAATTGTGAAAAAAAACTAAATATAATTAACCAGTTTTAAAGTTCTATCCTGCATAGAGGTTTATTAATTATAACCCTGTATGAACCCCGATTAATTTTCATTCAAATATGGGGGATATGTGTGATTGGGATAAAAAAACAAGAGGCCCATGGGCCATATCGCTCACCTGAGCACCAAGGGTAGGACTAGTATAAAATGGCTTTTTATTGTAAAGTTTAAATCCAAAAGTAGTCCCATGACCAATCATGGATTTGCTATTTTTTAGAAAATGATTAAGAAGAAGATTTTTAAAGAATTTTCCTATATATTTCTATGTAAAACTTTGGTCGGCCATTTTGGTCCCGCCCTACCCCCGGGGGTCATGATTTGAACAAACTTGAATCTACACTACCTGAACATGCTTCCATATAAATATGATGAATAATGGCTTTGTCATTCTTGAGAAGAAGATTTTTAAAGAATTTTCCTATAAATCTCTATGTAAAACATTGGTCGGCCATTTTGGCCCCGCCCTACCCCCGGGGGTCATGATTTGAACAAACTTGAATCTACACTACCTGAGCATGCTTCCGTATAAATATGATGAATTATGGCTTTGTCATTCTTGAGAAGAAGATTTTTAAAGAATTTTCCTAAATATTTCTATGTAAAACTTTGGTCGGCCATTTTGGCCCCGCCCTACCCCCGGGGGTCATGATTTGAACAAACTTGAATCTACACTACCTGAACATGCTTCCATATAAATATGATGAATAATGGCTTTGTCATTCTTGAGAAGAAGATTTTTAAAGAATTTTCCTATAAATCTCTATGTAAAACATTGGTCGGCCATTTTGGCCCCGCCCTACCCCCGGGGGTCATGATTTGAACAAACTTGAATCTACACTACCTGAGCATGCTTCCGTATAAATATGATGAATTATGGCTTTGTCATTCTTGAGAAGAAGATTTTTAAAGAATTTTCCTATATATTTCTATGTAAAACATTGGTCGGCCATTTTGGCCTCGCCCTACCCCCGGGGGTCATGATTTGAACAAAATTGAATCTACACTACCTGAACATGCTTCCATATAAATATGATGAATAATGGCTTTGTCATTCTTGAGAAGAAGATTTTTAAAGAATTTTCCTATAAATCTCTATGTAAAACATTGGTCGGCCATTTTGGCCCCGCCCTACCCCCGGGGGTCATGATTTGAACAAACTTGAATCTACACTACCTGAGCATGCTTCCATATAAATATGATGAATTATGGCTTTGTC